TCCCACTCTCCCCTACATGGAAAAACATCCCGTTGTGGATGTCTACCGACATTCATAGACATTTTAAGCAGGGATAAGTAATGAGGCAACTTCAGAATGTTTAGTGCATCTATATAACTACCAGAAATGCATTTGTACATTTCAAATCCATTCCTAACTAGAAAAGTTGTAGGTTTGGCCATCTGAGTTTTAGCCAGTTCTTGCCACCAGGGTTTCTGCCAGCCGGTTTAAACCGGTTAAAACCACTGGCAAAAACCAGTTTTTGCCACCCCCTGCCAACCCTGATACAAAATTTGTTCTTTTTCAGCAATTACATCAGCTCGCTCAGAGTTTTTTTTTTTCAGTATTAGTCTCTGGTGCTGCCTTAACAATACGCGCTGAAGCTACCGCTAAGGCGTCTCCAAGCTAGATGACTTCATTGTTACCTTCATAAATCATTTCCCAGACGAATGGGTCTCATCTCTTCTGTTTTCATCCTGTCCAGATTGACGTTGTGAATTTTCCACTGATGAAATACCAACAACACACGCTCATCTGCTCAGCATCGGTCTCTGTTTTCTGCGAGTTTTGTGTGACATTTTTCGTCACACTGGCCCGGTTACATCAGTATGTTCTGCATCTGCGGCCTGGCCCGGCCGCTGCTGGGGCGGTATGATGTTGTCGTGCGGCGCTCACTCGTCATCTGGCCTTGTCGGGTAACCGGTGGGGTTGGGGGGGGGGGGGCAGATGCAGCTGGAGACTGTATCTGGGGAGCAGTGACTGGTGGGTGGCCGAATTCAGCTGGACCAGACCGGTCCGGCCTCGCCAGCTGAGCTCGGCGTATACCAACGCGATGGTTAACGTATACCAACACAGTGGTTGTAACTTGTAGCGCCTATTATACCTAGTGTAGGTATGCCAATATTTCGAAATATTCATTATTTGATATTATATTATTTGATGTTGTATTATAAGCAGTGATCTTGTATCACCTCTGTTAGCCGAAACACAAGCTGAGGCCTCTTGCACCAAACTACTGAGCTAGGTAAAATCGAAAAACCGATTTCAGAGCTAGCTAACCTTATGGTGGATAGTACAACAACTTAATGGTATTTTGTACTTTCCCATAACGTAAGCCTACAGGTGCTTGGTAGAATTATAAGTAAATTGTCACAGTAGTCTTGGGGTGGGTGTATGGTGCAACAGAATCCAAGGATTGGTGCAAGAGCCAAGAGGATTTTGGTGCAAGAGGCCTCTGGACAGACCTGCCATAGATCAAAATAGATTTGTAATGTTTCCCTCTGCCCTCTTGTAGGCCTAATGTTTCATCGCGACTGATGTTCTTATAGTGAATGCGCGGGCTCCAGCCGCTTCCTGTCTTAGCAAAACACACAAAGACAGGAAGTGTCTAGGTTATTATGAACAATGTAGCAGTACAATGTTTCGTTTTCCGCTGTGGAATAACCTACAGGCTACAGGCCCGCGCGAACTTACCTCTCCCCCGTCAGATGGCAGCAGTGGTTAACGTCTGCAGTTATGCTGTGCCGCAATGCATCGATGCCTATCTGTGCGTGGATTATATAACTGAAAACGCGCACAAGTGAAAAGAGGAGACATACTTCTGTTATATGCTTTGCCACTTCGCTGAAGGGAACCTCAGCTGCGTGGTTAGGAAGAGGACAAGAGGGACCCTCTGCGACGTGCTGGACAGAGGAGCTAGGTTCAGACTTCAGAGAACGGACCAGACAAAGGACGGCCTTACTCTGTGCCTGGGTGATGGAGGGGAGCGTCGGCCCTGGCTGTGGGTCCATCTGTACCGTATATACACTAGTGTGGGGGCTCGACAGAGGCTCGCGGGGGCGCGGCTCTGGACTCTGGCCTCTGTGTGACCTTTGGTCGTCATTCGTTTGTCCTTGGGAGGACGAGCCCCCCAGAGATGACACGTCTCTGCCGTGGGTGGTCAATCGTCTCGTGGTTGATGCGTAAGGTCGACACCCGTGCATATGGCAGATATATTTTTTATTTTCGTATGATATGAAGCACATACATTATCAGGGCCTCCTCTAAGGATTTTTCACTGGGTGGGCAGAATTTTCGCTACTCCCCTGCCCAAGGGCGAATCCAACCACTGTTTTGGGGTTCAACCAATTTCAAAACCTGTTACCGGGGGGGGGGGGGGCGGGGGTGAGGCGAAATAAGCAGTGCCGTTATTGGAAATAAGATGATAGTTTGCAAAGTTAACGTTTGTCGTATGTTTTATGGTTAGCGATGCTCGAGCGATTCGTTCCAGAGTTAAATGTACAGCCCTCCGCAAACTGCGTGGTAGGTATTCTTATTCGGTATTCTTGCTATTTTGACAATGTACCAGTTTTTGTGACCTTGTGACCTGGCCTCGGGTCACTGAAACCTAAAACTCCAAGGCCAAGTGACAAACGGATGCTCCAAGTCGTGTCTTAAATTTGGTAGCGCTACGTGCTATAGAACTCACGCTATCAACGAAAAACTCTGGCATTCGGTTGCCGCTAAACTAGTCCAATTTTCCCCTGACCTTGTACGGGGTTTGTGACCTGGTGACCTGACCTGAAAAGACTAGAGATCTGAAATTTTCAGGACAAGTGCCAAAAGGTTGCCCCAGAGGGTATGCCAAATTTGAGCGCCGCCGTTTTTACGTTATTTGTGAAAAACCTTAGAGGGGTGCATCAACCCCCCTCACCGGGCGAGGGCTAACTAACATAATACATTGTAGTAAAGGCTACCCGAACCGGTAATGATTCTTGCTTATTTGTTTAGCTCAGCCGTATTTAGAGATTTAGCTGGCTTTGTCCATGAATTACAATATCGGCAGGGGCGTAGCCAAGGGGGAGGGGCCACGGGGGCAATGGCCCCCTCCCTTGAGCGCGAAACGCGCCATGGGGGAGTCCCTCAGGCCCCGGGATATTTTTTTTGAAACACTGGATAAAACGTCTTTTACTCGGAAGAAAATTGATATCGAAGTTTCATTTCTGTGGCCCTCTGATGACCCAATGGGCCCCTGCACTCATCCGATGACCCCCGGTTTCCTGGGGCCCCGTCGCATGGGGGCCCCTGGTCGCCTGGGGGCCTGGTCGCCCGGCCCCTGCCCCCTTGTCGCCTGGAAGAACGCTTGTCACCTGCAGTGGCATAGCCAAGGAGGGGGCCAAAGGGACCATGCCCCCCCTGGAAGCCAGGGGTCCTTATTCTATAGGGGCCCCTGGCTGACACAGTGGGCCCTTGGCGACGCAAAGGCCCCTGCGGCAGATCCTTTGACACAGCTGAGTAGTTATACTTTGGCCAAGAGAGCCCCAATTTTAGAGCCTTGGGGCCCTATAGAAACCAGGGGGTCAGTTGGATGGGATGGGTCCAACTTGGGTCCAACGGTGTGTAAACAGAATCAATGCGTTTCGACTGTTGGTCTGACCCTATATCGGTTTGAGGGAGCTCGGATCGGATCCACTGTCGATCTGAGGGGCCCCTATCGGTTTGAGGAAGCTCTTAAATGCCCTGAACGGGTCCTTAGTTTGTCTGGGAGAGCCATCCGTCGGCATGACTGGGCCTCTGCAAGTGCAAGGAGGGCTTTTGTCGGTTTTAGTGGCCCTTAGGCGGCTTATATGACCCTCAGACGGCTTACGAGGCTCTCATGCGCTGTAGGGGCCTGTGACGGTCTGAAGAACCCTCATCCGACCTACGGGCCCTCAGACCGCCCTCAAAACCGACTGGCGACTCTATGGAGCTATTCGTGGGCCTATCTAACAGGGCCCATGGACTGCTTACCCCCTCAGTTCTAATATTTTTTGTTAATAATTTTTTTTTTATTTGGGCCCCCTCCAAAAAATATTGGATCCAACCAGATGGCTCTTTGGATTTTAAGGGGGTTATTTTGGGCCCCTGTGCGTTTGGCCCCCTCCTTGAGGAATTCTGACTACGCCCCTGAATATCGGGCAACCACAAAACTTTTTTTTGACCTTCAAACAGCATCCAGTTTGCTTAAGACCAGAAAGGTAGTACCGGACGTCCGGCCGGACCAGAATTTTTGCATTTGGTTCTGGGTGGGCAAATCGACGCCACTGGGTGGGCAATTGTGGTGACTGGGTGGGCATTTGCCCACCCAGTGGGTATGTTAGAGGAGGCCCTGGTTCAAAACATTCATATAATTTATCATTCCTAAGCTAATAAATCATGAGCGACTGAGTGTCGTCTGATTAACATGTCACCTCCGTGTGCTGTTTAAAACTGTGCTTTATCCGCTCTAGGTGTGAACATTTCTTGCAAAGGATTTCCATTTTCCTTGTTCCGCATTATTTGTAAGAAATTGAATGAATCTGCGAAGAGCCTTGTGGAACGAAGGCTGAAGCTCTAAATGAAATGCATGCCTGGTGACCACAGATGTGTGTGACAGACACGGCCTGGTGTCTATAAGGCGTGGTGTACGATAGACCGACGCCCGACGGAACAGTGTGTTAGCAGGCGGAAACTGGAAAGCCACGACTTTCCACTGGCTTTACGGCTGAAAGGATGTCGTCAGGCATCGGCCATCGTTCATAAGCCAGCTTGGAACGACAACTTTCGATATGCGAAGTAATTTGACTGAAATGTTTTGATGAACCATCTATCGATTGGCTATAATAAGGACTGTCTTGTTAACTTTTGTTGACTGGCAAAACAAGCCGACATTGACAAAACAATGACGACTAGCTAAGGCTGTGGTCAGGTCAAGGAAAAATACTGATTGGCCATTGGCCAGGTCTTCCGTTTTGCGGCGACCTTACGTTGTCGCCAGCCATTCAGTTCCGGCCAAACTATCTTTGGCACAGGTTTCCGAGTAAACCGTCGCGTTGGACGCGCCCGCCACATCCTCCTGTCCACCGGGCGCTGACCGCCGAACGGCGACCGTCGTGTCGTCGTCGGACTCCGGTGGCGCCACCTGGCCTGCTGCGCCGGCGCCGGCGCCGACGACTCCCGCCCGCCGGAACTGGTCGGCATTGGTCGGTGCGCTGCGGCCGCGGGCGGACGTGCGAGCGCTTCTGTCGCGCCGATCTCCGTGTGGCTTTGTCGTCGGTCGATACGCGCGGGGTCGCAGCGGCGCCGGTGGGTGGTGCGCCTTCAGCAGACGTGGTTGAGGAGCGTCGACGGCTCTCGGGGGTGGTGTCGGAACGGGCGCGACGGGTGCCGGAGACGAGGTGACGGGTGTTCGCCGCGCGGCCATGCGCTCCCGCGGTGACGGCCCGGCGGCAGCCGCCTGGCAGGAGGGCAGCGGCCACCCGCTGCTGGCCGGATACATGGACATGGTGCGACTGTTCTGCGCACTCTGCAAAGACCACCACGCGCTGGAATTTCAGCACGGCGACGGTGATCACTGGCACGACTGGACCACAATTTACCGCAGGGTGAGCTGACATGGATCCTTTCTTCCCGGCGCCGCGACGCTCCCCGCCGGCTCGTGCCGCGCATGAGTTCATGCAGAGCCCGCGCGTGCCTAATTCCCAGATCACCTACCAGACCCTGACCGGCTGGTCGTGCCGGACTAAGTCACGACGTCCCACACCGGGCACCGCCGTCGTTCATGGCAATGGCCACGGTCTGACGTCGCGGCGCGCCGGTCATCGGCGGAGACGTGGACGGCCTGGCAGCAAACAGTTAGGGAATTGGCCCACCATTATGTTGTCAGGGGAATGCCATTTCCGTAATGATGTTACCTGACTGACAATGCCATTATCGACAAAACCTGAAAAATAATAGGCCATGCCGCTCGCCGAATCGGCCGTATGATTTTTAGTGCTACGAGTAGCTTCAACAAATCGCTGGTCTTTGTGTTTGTTGATGTCGATTGTCGGGTCTTTCTTTTTTCTTGCGTGACGTGCCGTGTGCTACCTTTTTGGTAGCTGCAAACCTGCTCAGCCTCCTCTTGTCTCCTGTTTGTAGTTTTATCCCGTTATCATCGAAAACAACTTGTCGTTATTTGTCGGGAAAATCTCATTCGCTTCTCAGATAGTTAACGTTCCATCACACATTTTGTCGTGTCTTATCTGTGTGTTTTAAGCTGTGGAGATGAAAGCTTTTAATTAGTTGGGGGATGACTGATGTTTTTGAAGTTTGGCAAAATATGGCTTGAACATTAAACAGCATCGGGAAAAACAACCAAAAATGTCAATAGCATAAACAATCAAAGTCATTCGCCCTCTTTCGGATGTTTCTGATTGGGTTAAGACTCATTAATTACCTTTTTCATAAGCTTAACCAATTTTAATTTGAAGCAGGGTGAAATTAGGTTACGCACAGCGAATTCCTTGGGATATTAATTAGCTGTTTTTTATCGGCAACTATTTCTACTCAGCCGGTAATGAACATAGAATGTTTCCCTTATGAGGATTGATGTAAGTGAGAAGGAACATCATTTCAGAAAACTGTACTTGATCAAACAAAGGAGACGTTTCATCACGCCTAAAATTCAATATACCTAAGCCTGTACACAATCGTCGAATTTCTTGTTTGAAGAACCACCTGTTTCTGTACCTACCAACTAGTCTGTTCCAAAATGCGCAATTCACAAACTGCTGCGCAGTGCATAAACACTGCGCCATTTTCAACGAGTTGAGTCTTCGCAGACCAGAAAATTTAAAGGTAGTGTGCCACCTTCGAATGATTTCCCATTTTATTTTTCCTAGGATAAGAAGCTTCTGTTTTTACCTAATATCGCAAAAAATAAAAAATGGGCCTAAAATAGTGCTTTTTTCGCCTAAAAGTTTATCGGTTTTTCGATATGTATAACAACTGTAGTGGGCTGACCTGCAAACAGGCGTCGGCAACAATCACGAATGCGGCGCACATGTGACAATAAGCAAAGGTCATTATAGAGTTACGACGTACGGGAATGAGTTATCAGCTGTCTAATCGTAGACAACACAATGTCTAATTTAAACTGCAAGCCTGTATTGGTATTGTTTCTTTAATTTGGCTGTCAAACATTAATTTATGGTTTGAAATATTATTTTATGTAAAATAATTGATATGAAACAGCCGTCTCTAAAGTTATGACCCCATCTCACCACATGAAAGTTGGCAGAAATGACAATGATCAGCTGACGCATTTTTCTTGGCTGAAGTCAGAGCGCGCGGTCCGACGCACCACCACCGCACCACAAAGTATGAGCATAAGCCGCGCCCAAAGCCAGGGCCCCGGTAACGTGAGGTAGCCGAGTCGGGGCAGCGTGCGCAGACCCAAGCCGGGGCCGCGGCTTTGGGCGCGGTCTACCGCATCCCCGCGGGCAGCCCCGGGCTATCACATGACACCGGGAGGACGCGCGGCCCCGGCTTGGGTCAGCGCACGCTGCCCCGACTCGGCTACCTCACGTTACCGGGGCCCTGGCTTTGGGCGCGGTCTACCGCACCACCTAACAGGCGTGTTCGAAACCGCAGGAGACGATGATGAACGGGTTTATCGAAACTTGATTGGATGAGCCTATCGGTAATAGCGATTTCAGTGTGTGCATTTATTGTTCATAGTGGTGTGAAATGTGGTTGGGGTACGACCGACAACCCGTCGGGGCGAATTTCGCACTGGGGTACTCAAAATTTGAAGAATTTAAGACGTTTCCATGAGTTTTGAAGGTATGGATAAGTTTTAAAAATCCGGTTCTCCTTATCTGGGCCATTAACTCCATACGGTCCAGGAAAGCTGGCACACTACCTTTAATTGTCACAATGGGGGATGGGAATTGAGCTGAGGTCGCGTTAAACAGTGATTGGTTTCAGGTCACTGATCGTCCCATCTGTTTGGACAACTGTTTATCTGCTCGGAGGGTCCGTGCTGACCTGCAAGGGCAGTGTGGTGGCCGTCAGTTTGCATGTTTGGACAGCCACTGTGCACGGTTTGGTAACCCCTTTCCAAGCCATGACGATGCGGCGACCAGTTAATTTTGTCATGGTATTCATTCATTCATTGGTTCATTCATTTGCCTACTCGTTCATTCGTCCATCTAAAGCTTTTTATGCATGTGCCCTAAGCATGGGGCTAGACCTGACGGCTTAGTATTTTTCTTCATCTTGTGAACGGATATGATACAACATCCAGTTTTGGCGTGTGTGCCTACTGTTTTTTTTGTGACCATATTATAGTGATCCTCTTTTACTTATTGTCGGCACCGACAACTTTGTCATCCTCGTCGGCAAGAGGAGGGTGTGGGGTGTGGTGGGGCGTGGGTGTTAGGAGCCCCAGGGCGTTTAGCACCTAATCAATGTAGAGCTTCGCACCCACCATGAGAGGAAGCCAGCGGTGCCCATGGTAGATATCACGGGTCCAGGGATGACCAGGTCAGATCCGACACCTGACCTGACCTTAAGGCCAGGTCAGACACCTTAGCGCGACTAATTAGCGCTGCATCAGCGCGCAGCTTGCGAATGCTAATGTCGACCGAAATGTTACCAAATCCGTACATAGTCGCCGCGACATTCTGAGCCGCTGCTGCGATGTGCTGTCAGACCATTCCACCACCATTCCATTCCGTCAGTCCACCGCACCATTTAGGCCCTGTATAGCCGCCTCCCGTGCTGCCGTTCTGTCTCTGTGCCGTCGGCCAACTGCCAGCCGGAAGCTGAATGGCTCCTTTGAGGACCGGCGGCTCCCTCCTGGGATGTCGTCAATGTGGTGACCGTGGCAACCGCCGCCCGTGACGGGTTTGCCATTCCACCGGAGTCGGCCGCGGACGTGCCAAATGGGAACGTGCTCCTGCTGCCTCCGGGTTGTGTCACGGTATGTGACCCGGTGGTGCTAAATTCCTCACTCGATACTCTCTGAGGCACGACCCGTTGAATGTCAATGGCGGCTGGCGGCCAACTGGCGGGTGATGTGGGCTGTTGGGGTGGTGTTAGACCGGTCGCCGTGACTTCGTGGGGTGTTCTAGCTTATAGATATCTGTACATACACCTACCGCATGCACAGAGGTCTGTGAGTCTAGCAATGATTGGTAAAGGCCGCCCCACACTGGAACTCGCATGCGGGTTTCGAGTTTGCGGGTTTTGAGTTTGCGGGCATAATACTAATTCATAGAGTGATTAGACCGTTCGCTTATGGTAACTTCATGAATGCAGTGAAGCCGGTGCACCTTCAGAAACTTTTATATAGTCCAATACCAGCGCAACGAATCAAAATTCGACTCCAACGAAAAACCCGCAAACCTCACAGAACTCGCAGACCTCGCAGCGAGGAAAATCGAAAGTTGACTCAAAATCAGCTTTTGGAATGTGATGCAAGGTCGTTCGCAAGCTAAAAACATGCAGACTCGCTTGTTAGATGGTAGTGTGGGCCAATCAGCTTAGACTTGTATCATTTGATTTTGAAGAAATCCGAAAACCCAAAAACTCGCAACCCGCATGCGAGGTCCAGTGTGGACTGTGGGGCGGCCTTAATAGTCGGCTGTGGTCTGTTGGTTACTGGTCTGTCTAGTTTGACCTGTAGGTTGAAGGGCCTGTCGATACTTAAAGGGACCCTCCCACCTTAACATTAGTTTTGAGTTGAGATAGCCAAATTGGTGGCCATGACCTGCAAATACCGGTTTGGACACTCACAACATCGAAAAATGCTTTAATTCGAAGATATGGAATTTCAAACTTGCAGTTTTCGGATTCTAAGGGGCTAATGCATTGGAATGCCCCCTTAGAATTTGTGACGTCAGCGGAGATCTGACGATTTTTAAATCTTAGACTAAAACCATCGTTAACACGTGGTGGTATACGCTGCTTTGCGCGCAACGTCTGCCGCACTTTAGGGCTGCCAAATTATTGCTTCCAAATAAAGTCGCTAGTAACAGGGGAGATCCCAAAAAGTAAACAAAAGTAAAAGCCTAATATCTTGAAAACCAGTGAATATTTTTCGGTGAAATTTGGTAGATATTCGTTTTCGCTCTTTCTGAACCAAGGGACATCACTTACATGCCAATTCATTAACTTTTTTGAAGGTGGGGGGTCCCTTTAATAGTACCTGGCTAGAAATTTGCGACACATTTTCTCGCAAGCGATTGATGATTGATCGGGGCCCATACCTATCTTGTCAAAGACCAATATCGTTCTGTCAGTCCGTCGATGCGAGTTTTGTCAATGACGGACGCGTCGGTCCGTCGTCGTCTCAGCGGGTGTTGACAGTCGGTCAGACTCACTACAGTCGGTCGGCGGTCCGGTCTGTCGGGCGTTTCATATCGTGCTGACGGCTGGTCTATCGGCGTTTCGGCTAGTGTTGACGGTCGATCCGGTCAGCCAGTTGGTTCGTCTGTCGTCGTTTCAGCTCGTGTTGACAGTCCGTCGGTCCGTCGGCGTTTCAGTCCGTGCTGACAGCCGGTCAGCGCGGCCCTGACCCGTCGCTGATCCTCTGATGGCGTGCCGCTGCTGTCACGGCTCCTGTCGCCGGTCGCGGTGGCGTGCCGTGTCGAGCCCTCAGTGACCTCTGTCCCCCTCCCCTGGCCCTATCCCCGACTGGGGCCGACTCACGACTGGTGGACGACTGGTTACGGCTGGCAGACTCGAGAGGAGAGTAGCCGCCTACCTGCACTCTGCACTCTGCAGTGCCCTGCCGGGGAGACGCCCTCGCAGCGCTAACCGACGACGCCATCGCACCGGAAACCCTCTCCTCCACTCTCTCTTCCGCCGGCAGTCACTCTCTGCGCTCTCCCCGTCGTGACCCGAGCCGATGGAGGGTATTGCCAATGACCTGCCCGGTTAGCCGGGACGGCAGCGACCCGACTGTAGTTCCGGGGCGCGGCATATTGCGCCGATATGTGCTGTTTGCGCAGTGCGGCCAGTGCCGCGTTATTGGACACTTGTGGTGTGCCCTGGTCACGGCGTCATAACCCTGATTATTGTTGGCAGCTTTCCAGGGAGGATCGCGCCAATGCTGGGTTGTTTTTTATGGGCATACATATTGATAATGCCTGGCAGCGATATGGGTACTTATAATAACATTATCATGAGGACCCTCCTTTTATATTGCGCCGATGGTCTCTACATGTCTAAAACCCAAACATCATCACATCCTTTTGTATTGCTTACTCATTTTGGCACCGCCTATCGCTCTTCTTTTTATGACGAATGGTTTCGGCAGGTGATTCACCATTGTGTATATCCGGCATCAGTGGTGGTCCCAGTGCGCGTCCCGCCACCGGACCACGCGATGTTCCGTGACCGCCCGGCACTGCTGTCGGTGTGTTATGTCTTAGTGACGCCAGCTGTCCGGGCTCTACCGGTGCCGGGTGTGGCGCGAGCGACTCGACCTGATTATAGGGACGGCCGCGGCCACCTTTGTGCAGCTGCATTTGCACTGCGCTATGGTTTGGGTCGGTCGTTTATGGTGGTGATGATGCTGATCGAAATGATGGGACGGTGATTTAGTACACCGTGCTGGCTGGTGCAGAGGGTTTGATGGTCATCAGCGCTGGCTGACCGTGACTCACGACCATGAAACATGCGCGCGGAGCTCCGTACCGCTATGCACTTGGTACGCCCTGGCACAGGTGGAGGCGGAAAAAATATCCGCTACCTCAGATCCGGATGTGACTTTTGCATGGGATCCCGGACATAACTAGGTGCGCAGTAAAGGGTTTCAAAAGTTCTATTACCGGGTCCCGGACGTCGTTTGCGCTCACCGCTGTCCGGACAAACAGTGAGCAGTGAGCTTGTTAGGACAAGCTCATGCTCAGTTGACACTTGTCACAAATATTGGTACTCAACCTCCACATCCGTGTATCGAGGTGTCTGGCGACGCCACTGGCATTGCTTTGTGTCCTGGATTTCACCCGATCCGACCCCGCTGGACCCGCGCTCAGCACTCCGTGCTTCATGCGCTCCGTGCTCTGTGCTCCGTGCTCTGTGCCCCAGGCTCGAATGCGGCGTGGGCACGTTCTAACTGTGGCATTCGGGGCGACGAGCGCGTCTAGCATGCCTGTACCAGCTCCTGTTTTTTGCTGCCCTCAGTTCTGACTTTCTCAGTCCCATTTCGCCGGCGCCGGTGTGTCCGACGTCCCTGCTCTATCCGCTATGTCCGCTATGTCTATGTCCGTGACCGATAACCTATGTTTAGATACTTCGACAAGATAAAGCGAAGTAGCCTCTTTAGTAATCCGTAGCGCTCACTTTTCGCGAATACCTGGCACGCGGTAGCACGTGCTCACTATTTCCGCTCACCGTGATTGGGACGGCCCGACAGGCGCGTCGGTTTCCTCATAGCGCAGGTGTCCGGTGTCCTTCCGTGTCCGTCGTGCGTCCTCTGGTCGGTCGGGTCACGGTCAGAGTCGACCCGCCGGCCTCCGGAGGCTTTAGACAGCTGCGCCCCGGGGCGTGGCATTCCGCCCCTCCCCTCCTCAGCGCGTTTACAGCCGACGCGGTGTTCATTGGACTCTGCAGCGGTCAGCTGACACCAGCGAGGGGGCGACACGTGCGCGGTGGCTGACGGACGCGTGATGACCCCGTGACTGCCCTGTGACGGCCGGTAACGACCCCATGACGGTCTGTGACACCACGGACGGCCTCTCTGCCCCCCCCCTCCCCCGTGAGACGGCCTTCACAGGACTGGGGCGGGGGCATGCCATGCTACGCGATCTCGCACCGAATGCGGATGTGATCCGATGACGCGTGATGACGTAAGATGACGACCGGGCGTCCTCTGTGGCCCGGTCTGTCGCCGGTGCGCGTCCTTGTTCCACTCTCAGACGGCCGGCATTGTCGCCCCCGCTCGACATTATTCGCCGCCTCCTTGCTGCCTCCTTCCCATTTGCCGCCTCCCCCCATTCGCTTCCGCCTCTGCCCATTTCCGCTGTTTGTCCGTCGGCTGCTCTAGAACCTGGTGAATTACCAGTCCAGCACATGCGGATCACTACACGCTATAACATCTGTGTTTCAGTTTCCACTGTATTTTCGCTTCCCCTCTTGCTCAACCTAGGATGCTGTGTTGACCTTTCAAAGTGTCCCGAAGCTTTTCATGTTGTCCTGTCGTATCACTATCACCACGCTGCCTGATGTGTGTCTCTGTGTGCCCTTTGTGTTCCGTTCTGTCCACTCTCAGCCACCCTCCGTTTGTCACTAACTCTGTATCTGTGGTGCATGCCTTTACTGTTGACCCGTCGTCGGCTGGTGACGACTCGGGTCAGTTTCGTCACTAGGCCTGCCTGCTCAGTGTGTGTGGTGCCGGTTAATATAAAACTACTTCTAGGCCAGCTAGACGCGTCAGAACTCACCACCTTACTGACTTGTGTTGGTGTCTTCGTCGTCATTCACCCTGTATTACTAGGTTGTGGGATGATGCCTAACGAGTCTAACTTCTCAGCTCTGCTAAACATCAACTACGCACAATGCCATGAATCAGCTGGTTTTGTTTTGCCAAATACATATTAAAGACTTGTTGCGCATTGTAGCACTTAACAATGCAAGCTTTCTTCACATGGTTTCCCTCTACACGCTTGTGGCAGATAACGGCTAAAGCTATTGTCTAGCTGTAACGTTTTTACGCCACTGAACTAAAGTAATTTTCCGGGTGTCACCACTTAAACCAATTTAGCTCAAGTGCATTCAGCATTACTTAGCGGTATCCACTCCTTACTATTCAAATGTAATTACGGTCTTTAACGCTTTCACAGCGATAGTTTATGCCTGCCGTGGCTTCCGATGATTTTATTTTGCCGCTCTCACCTCTGCAGCTCGGGCCCGTCTCTGTCGGACGGGCTGCGATCCCCCGGCTGATCACTCTCTGACCTGTGCCGTCCGTGTCCACAGGCAGACGCCATTCCTGATGACTACGACGATGAAGGAAAACAGGTCAGTGACAGGCGCGATGCTGGGCAAAAGGGAATTGGAACAGTAGGTAGGGTGTTTACGGAGCATCAAATAACGAACCTGAGTTTATTTGAACAATCAAGAACGGGTGACTGGAAAAGTAGTAAGAAACTGGATATTACCGACTCGGTTCCTTTTAGTGACAGCTAACGATACATGTAGTCTCACAGGCTTCCCCTTAGTCTCCTGACTCATACAGCCGAAGGTAGGAGGCCTAGTTGAAATCAGAAGATGCCTGAGTTTGAACGCTCGCTCGGTCCCCTGCCCTACACAACTGACCCTGACCGTCACCCTGTTCCTGACGGCTGATGTGATCCTCCCCTGTTATTGTCTACTGACCTGAACCTCCACTGCCCTTGTCTGCTGACCTGAATCTCCCCTGCTCTTGTCTACTGACCTGACCCGTCGTTCCTCAGGTGGTGGTCGGCATCTGTGCCATGGAGAAGAAGTCGGGCTCCCGTCCGATGAAGGAGATCCTCACCCGGTTGGAGGAGTTTGAGTATATCAAGTGTCTCATCTTCCCCGAACATGTCATACTCAAGGTGAGCACTTCAGATGTCTCTGAGACCAAGAACGGCTGACCAGTGTTGACTCAGAGTCGGCCAAATTTGACTCCAGATATGCAGTACTATAGATTGTATGCTTCGGTATACAGAGGTCTATAGCAATATGTAGGAGTCCATAGTCAAAGTAAATGAACGAATGGAACTCCCAAGCCGGATTTCCTTGTCGGTCCAGGTCATGGCCGCTGTTTACTAAGAGCGGAGGGGGGTGGTGCCGCTCTTACCCACGGTTTTCCGGTACCGCTACCCTAGCAGCTGCAGTGAATTAGCGCCGATGACCATTGCCACCCGGTCGCTCCTCAACCCCAAACATCAACATCCCTAAACCGGTGTGTTGCCGAGTGGGTGGGAACTCTAGCAGGTGCCTACCACTCCTTGTAGTAGTGGCTGTGTATTAGTGGGGCGGGGTATTGGTCAGTACAAGTACTTACCGCTCCCCTAGGTGGAGTGTTTTGGGGTTCCCACTGAACGTCCGTGAGTCACGGTGACTCACGAACAGTGATCGTGACTGAGCCACGTCTGCTGTTTGTTGTCTGACGCCGCGGGCCTGCGATTGACGCCACCTGGCAGCTGTAAGCACGCCTGCTCACCTGCGAATGTCACTGAACCGAACTGAGCCGATGCCGCGCATTGCTGTCTGTTTTGCGAGGTAGCCTGATCTGTATCGCGCCACGAACGAGCCGTTTTAGCTGACGAACCATTTTACAATGCGGTAGCGCTATCCAAAACCGACAATATGCCCTGAGCGACAATGTCCGTCCTGGCTTACCTTTATGTGTGAATCGGTAGTTTGCGCCGCCCTGTTTCGTAATCCGTCCCCCACCTGTTCAGGTGCGGCTGACCATGCAGCGCTTATATAACTCATCGTCTAGTGATTGCCTTGGCTCTCCCTCTCTGTCCAGATGTTATTCGACGGTCAGTCCTCACTGAGCTCGATATATAAGCCAATAGTTAGGTGTAGTGCGCACTGTATAGCGGCAAGCCATGTTTGCTTACGTTGCGCTTGTCGACAGTCTTCGCCGCGTTATGGTGCATCAAACGTCCCCGCTCTTTTACAGCACTGTGACGACATGGAACTTCCTGCCTATCTGTGTGCCCATCAGGGGGCTCCGAGCTGGGGTATTGCGAACCCCGAGAGTTCGGGCCGCTTCCTTCCGCTCTCTGACGCTCCAATTTCCGGTCCCGGTCGTGCGACACATTCTAGGAGCTCCCAGACCTCCCTTTGGTGGCGTCGTCACGTGCAACCGCCTGAACCCCTGCAATTTACCGTACCCTTCATGATGTCGCCACATGCGAATATGTTGATCCTGCTGAGTGTGACGCCTTCCCGATCATCTCCGTAACGTCAAGTCTATGACTGTAAATACAAATTCTGTTTCACTTGTGACTCTTTGCAGTCGAGCCTTATCCCATTTGACATCACCATTTATGACGGCATGCACTCAGCAACCCAGTGGTGTCTACCTATGACGTCCCATGTGTCGTTGTGTTTCAGGAGCTTGTGGAAAAGTAGCCACTTTGCGACTGTATCGTCCCCCTGTGACGCCAATGTTTATTGTGTTTCAGGAGCCGGTGGAAAACTGGCCACTGTGCGGCTGTGCTATTCCATCTGTGATGTTATATATGTCTTTTGTGTTTCAGGAGCCGGTGGAAAACTGGCCACTGTGCGATTGTCTCATATCGTTTCACTCCAAGGGCTTCCCGCTGGAAAAGGCCATCCAGTACTCACAGCTGCGGAAACCGTTCATCATCAACAACCTACAGATGCAGTATACGCTACAGGTACGGTACATTCTGCAGGCTGCTAGACGTAGCCCCGAATGACCCGATCCCAGTGCAGCGTGTTGATGTTGGAGCGCTGGTGGGGGGGGGGGGGGATTAGAGCACGGTGGGCTTCGGGGACAGATAAGAAGTCTGGGAGAGGTTGGAGCAGCTGAATAGCGTGGGAGGGAGCAATGATCGTCGGAGACTTGAGATGGGCGCGGCTGCTGGGAATGTAAGGATTCCTATTTGATCATCAAGTCACGTGTCCTTCCTTCCCGCACTTATTCTACCCGCCCGACCGCTGACATTCTGATCCAACGTCCCTCTCCTGTTCTGTCTTTCTGTCTGCTCCTGTTCTGTCTGAAGCGCTTCCTTCCTGTTACATATATCCGCCCGTCCTACTCTGGTATGTCCGGCTGTCCCGCCCATCTAAAGTCTCGTCGCTCGTCCACTGACCCTTCACCTGTCTGACGGGGGCCTGGCTCTGGCCTGGTGCCCAGGGCAACACGTCACAACGCCGGGTGGAAACTTACCTCTCAGAGGCTGCCGCCCGCGCCCCGTCGTAAACAAACACCGAGCGTGGCCACCGGGCCCTGCCACCGAGCCGGTGCACTATGGTTGGAAACGGCCTCACCGATGGCCGTGGGCAATTTCGGAATATATGTATATTTGGGGTGTCATTCTGTTGGAAATTGATGAAATGTTTTGAATTGGGCAGAAAAAATTATTTAGTTGCGCATTTAGTCTCCATTATTGTACGTGGAATCGGGAGTTTCTGACAGTGACTTTTTTGGTGCGCCGTCAAAGGTTTAAACAACCGCGCTGGTGATAGCATGTGGAGTACCTCCATGACGTTGTAAAACTGGATTTTTATATATCAAAATAATCCTTGTTATGTTGGCTATCGAGTGGAGTGACTCTTTTTCCCATGCGTGTTCAAAATCAGGAACGGCATTGCATTCTGTTTGCAGTGTCACCACAGCAATATTTGCAAAATTGCGTTTATGTTTCATTGGACATACAAAAAGTTCTCCATCGACCTCCATTGAGCTTTTTGGCAGAATAAATCTCTGTTCAATTCTGCGTAAGGGGAACGTAAAAGCAGACTGCGCACTTGTGCGCAAAATCGTCCGTGAAGCTTCATCTCCCGAGGCGTACCTACCCGTCGCTTCGTTAGCACCAGGTCGGCTCGTCAGTCTTGCAATCGCTTATCCTTATAAATGATGGTAAGAAGCAGGGTTTCGGAGTCGCGGTGGCGCCAAATCCGACTCCGACTACGACTCCGACTCCTGACTCGTTGCCATGACTCCGGCCGACTCTGTCTCCGACTCCGGACCCCTGCCAGTGTTTCGGAGTCGCGATGGAGCTGTTCCGATTCGGACCGACTCCGACTTCCACTGCGGGCTCCTGACCGACCCCGACTCCGACTCCGACTCCTGGCTCGTTGCCACGACTCTGGGCGACTCTGACTCCGACTCCGACTCTGACTCCGATTCTGACTTCGACTCCGCACCCCTCGTAAGAAGTAACTGCTCGCCCCTGCACCTGGAGTATGAATATCGTGCAAACGTGTATGGATATCCTGGAGTATGGATATGGATATCCACTGACAGAACAGACATACAGACATGCTGTAAACTCCATTACACTGCCAATACCATGGCAAATCAAATGGCTATCTATGGTTTTTGATCATCGTTCTACATTTTCCAAAATCTTGAACTGAATGTTGGCAATGTCTCGTGACTACTTCACGACCATGACGCATGCATTTCTGAAATTGATCTTTTTTCAACCAGCCACGTACTCGTATGATAAAATGAATGTCACCATCGTGTTCTACGCCCAAAAGTACCCATAAAACATGTGTCATGCATGGGCTGCGAATAGGTACCAGTTTTAATTTTCGGGGTTATGTGTTTACCTGATTGACCTGACTTTGACCCTGGCCAGTGGCCTATGCTTGACTGACCCCTACATTGATCTGACACTCTTTTAGCACTTATATGAAGGGTTGTGACAATTGTGACAGTTGTGACAGATTGTTTAGGACCAACTGATGACTGAATTTATTTAGGACCAACTGATGACGATATAATCGAAACGCGAAACGCGAGGCACCGATTGCGAGGTTCTAAAGTCCATGCTACTGAAAGCCCGATTTTAAGTGTTTGACCTGACCTTGACCCGACCTGTGACCTCGAAATTCAGCTTTAAAGTATTCACGTGAATCGTCTCGTCGCGTTCTTCTTTCGTTTGCCGCGCCTCGTGCGTTTCGCTGCGCCTATTTGTTCGCGAGTTATCGGCTGGGGGCGTTGAACGCCCCCCCCCCCGGCAAACGGCGGATGGGGGAAATACCCCAGCAACTGCCGGGTTAATCTGACGCATGTTTTGTCATTTGATCGTCATTTTATTTCTTACTTTTTAGCCCAATCTAAAAAAAAAATCATAAATACTCTTTCTCCAAATTTTTGACCATTTATGACCAATAGTAAGACACTGTGCGTCACTACGTTGATATGTCTCGCCCTAAAGCATAACAACAATATCCATTCAGTAATAGCAGTATTCAAAACATGTTCAAAATGCCTCGCGATATCGATAACATAACGAAAGACATAGGCGACTTATGACATACTTGCAATGATGACGTCACACACGCGTGACGTGACGTGACCTCGTCATTTCTGAGTTACTGTATGATGCACGAAAGACACTGGTATACCTATGCAAAGTTTCATCGCAGTCGGTCAACGCATTAACAAGTTATGGGCAAAACATTTTTTCGCGTTGACCCCCGGCCATCCGTGAGGCCGTTTCCAACCATAGTGCGGTGTCGCGCTACCGACCGCCCGACGGTGCCCCACGCCCTACTGGGAACAAACCACAAAGGACCGTCGCACGGCCGACCGAACAAAGGCTTCCGACAAGTCGCCGAGAACCCCGGGCTATCATCCTTCCCATACTCAGAGCTTGTCGTTCACCTCCGGCTACCACCCGGTAACGGCCGTCGTTAACTGTATTGAGTTGGTGCAGCCGCCGGGCAGAATCTGATGCCCTGTTATCTGTACGGAGTGCGCAGCCTGTTGTCTGAACGAGCCTACTCAGCCCCGGGGCGCTGTGGACTGTCTCGTCCTGTCCGTCTCTCGTTCCGACCCGCTCGTTACCGTCTCTGGTTAGAGGTGGGACACGGGCTGTTACTACGGTGTCGGCCGGGGGCCCGGCGGCAGAGTCGGGTTTTTGTCACTACCGCCACCGCCGCAATCAGGGCCGGCAAAAACGACCGGACGACGGCGGGGACAGCGGTCGCACCAATCACCGGTGTGTGTGTGAGGCACGTCCCATCGCTGATGGTCGGCAGGATACAGAGTCATTGCTCGCCCACTGTCCGCCGTCCACCAGCTGATAGCTGGGAGACAGCGGGCGTACCAAGCACTGGTGTGTTAGGCGTGTCCCATCACTGATGGTCGGCAGGACTTCGGCAGAGTCATCGGCTGTCCACCGTCCACCGTTCACAGCTTAACCCGCGCCCGGCTGGGGGTCCTGGATTTCCACGCCCTGCTGGGGGGGGGGGGGGGTGTTTGAACACCCCCCTTCTAACTCGGCTCCTGGGCCACGTAGCGATACGCGGAAGGCAGCGTTCGAAAGAGCGTCAAAAATAATGACGAAATCACTTCGGTCAATTTTTTGGTCAGGTCAAAGGTCAGGTCACCAGAGGTCATTGAAGGCAAAATTTCGCCGATTTCCAGGTCGAATATCGAAAATTTCCAAGAAGCCAACGCATAACTCGGGAACCAATAGAGCTACAGCGCCGCGGAAAAGCGCATTCGATAGCCCTATTAACGCCCTTTCTGAGTAATCCTCTCAGATTTGACCTAACGTCAACGGTTTTGCCTGCAGGGGGCAAAAACTGCAAAAATAGCCGATTTTTTCGGAAACAGTTTTTCGGCAATAACTTTTGACCCAAGCCTTGTACGAGCTTACTTTTACCGGCATCGTGTTCCTCTCGTCAAGACGCATCGAATGAACTATAACTTGACCTTGAAAGGTCAACTTGAAAATTTGACCTCAGGTCAAGGTCATGACCTGACCGGAAAGGGTCATGTTGCATATCAGTCGATCCGTATCGTCGAGCTGAACACATCTAAGGCGTTTTCATCGCTCTAGCATGCCTCTATCAAAAGTTATTTGCGAAAAACTGTTAGATACAATTCGTGACCTAAGATGACCTCAGGGCATAAACAAGGGTCACGGACACCATTTTCATGTTCAGTGTGTCTAAACCACTTGTAATTCAGTGTTTGGGAGTGTTTATAATGTCTTTCGTCCAAAAGAGGCGCATTTCAATTTTCTCCCATTGACTTATAATGGGGAGGTCGCAAAATTGACCTGACCTTAGGTCACCGATATCAAAATTCCGAGATATACATTTTATAGATACTGTTACTCTTATCAATCGCTGAAAGTTTCAAAGCGATCGGTCACTCGGTGTAGCTATGACAGACATTGAAACTTTTTATGAGGTGAGGTCACTTCAAGTGACCTGGTGACCTGACCTTGAATGACCTTGGCCTAAAATTTTCACAACATGTGTAGAATTGATGTATGATAAGGTATACCAAAAACGGCGGCGCTCCGCGCCGCCGTTTTTGAGATATTCGCGAAAAACCACAAGGGGGGGGGGTGTTCAAACACCCCCCCCCCCCCAGCAGGGCGCGGGTTAACGTCCAACGGCTGATATTAACTGAGACAGCAGCCGAACCAATCACCGGTGTGTGACGCGTCCCATCACTGATGGTCGGCAGGACACCGGCGGAGCCTTTGTCCACCGACTCTCACCGTCGTCCGTTATTTACCGTCCACCGTACAACGACGATCATTCATCGTCCACTGTCCACCACCCTCCGGTCCGCTGCCTGTTATTGTCCACCAACCACGTCCACTCCGTCTGCCGTCCACATGCTTACAGGGCCTTGCACGTACCATCATTCATCGACCACGGACCACCAACCGCCGTCCGCCGTCCACCGGCCTTCCACTCTCATCAGAAGCACCGCCCTCCTTCAAACGATCTCATTCCTGACCAGACCAGTTGCAATGGAACCGACTATCCGTCATCATTTTCAGCTGTTGCGCCCTGTTACCAAGCTCCAAACGGAGCCGTCTTAATCCGCGGAGAATGCGTCTGAACTCTGAAAACAGACCGAGCGCAGCTGATGAGGGCGGCTGGAGCGGTCGATAATGGCAGCGCTGTCGTCAGGCAGTCTGCCTGGTGATAGCTTCACATCCTTCTATAGCTAATTTATTTATGCTGTTGTCCACTGCGCCCAGCTACGTGGCATCACGGTATGATGTCCACTGTTTCTGGCGCGGTAATAGCTCGCCTGTCCACTGTATTTGGTGCTTTGAATGCTCCTCTGGTGATTTTGTTTAGTCCGCTGCCTGCTGTGCCCAGTCTGATGGTGCTCCACCGCACTGTCCGATTTGTCCGGTTTGCTGTCCGCTGTATCCTGCCCATAGGCTGCTCCGCCATTTGCTATGTCTAATCCACGATATTCTAATTCCTCTACTGAATAACGATAGTATAATTCCGTCCTCTAAATCCGTTTCTTCTTTCGGTGTCGTATCGCTGCCGCCTCTGAGCAGGTGTTTTTCACTTACTTGGCAACACGCTCCCCGTGCACGCTGTTTTCTAGCTGCTGCCAGGGGACACGGAATGGGTCGATCGGATAGTCACTGGGGAGGGGATGATAGCGACACATGAGGCGATATGTACGTGTTGCTTCACCCCTTGTCGCGGAGGTGAGGGATAAGCGTCAGGGTTGGCGGGGCGGGAGATTGGTCCTGGTGTGTCGTTGGGGGAAAGGGTAGACGAAAGGTGTGTGAATGTGTGGGTGGTCAGGTAAGCTCGTTAATGGGGGGGAGGGGGGGGGGGCGTCTAGCTCGGTCGGTGCGTGAGGAACGGACAATAGCTGTGTCCCGATATATTTTGATTGCAAAGGCACTGCTCAGAGCATCCGATGGTTTATCTGGCCGTGTCATGACGCATCAGTATTTCTCAATGATAGTCCATTTCGTAACGTGTTTGGCACTTGATTCGCAGTGACTTGGCGCTTCAAGTAGTTGTGTGCCAACGGCTTCAGTAATTCCGTGACATCACTCGGGGTTGTTGGACATCCCGACATCCCCTCCTCCCTGATAACTGCGGACGTGCGCCGTGCGCAAGGCTCTATAGAAGCCGTGCGTGCACCCGCCACCATTCCATCAGTGTCGTGCTGTCCCACGCTATCATGTGCAGTATTTACCAACGTTATACACAGGCACGTGGGCCTTACCTATCTTATCTTACCTAAGCTGGAACATACAAATCCATTATATGATTGGTTTTGGAGTTTTAAATCAATCCCCATACTCTGAAAAAAGTCAATGCTTTCTTCAGCGCGTGCGTGTATGTTTATTCTACATGCTCGATTAGCTACCGTTCATCACTGATAACCTCGAATGTGTGTTGCACCTCTTTCCATCAGTCTTCGTCTATCGGTGACCGCCACCAACATATCTCTCCCGTTTTCAGGACCGGCGCATGGTGTACCGGCTACTGGAGCGAGAGGGTATCGACCTGCCCCGGTTCGCCATCCTGGACAGGGACGCGCCAGACTTTGTCGGTACGTAGTAGGTACAGGTTTTCTGCTTATTACCCCTTTCTTTATTGCCTTTTATTACCTTTTACGTTACCTGTTCCACCCTGGGGCGCGATTATTTTACTTATACCCCGGAGAGTCGTCTGCCTGCCGCTCCTATGTCTGGTCTTGTGTCTAGGCCAGTGGGTCCTGGGATACTGCCGTCTGTGTTGACCCAAATAGAGCCCCACTCGTAGCGGTCTGGAGAGCGGCAGGGGGTACTGACCCCCGCTAGTCTCTGAGTGCTATCGCTGTGGGCCAGGGGCTGCCAGTGGTAACGCGGCCAGTGGGAACGTTACCAGTGGGACCTCACCCCAGGGCTTCCATCCCGACTCGCGGTCAGTGACCGGTCTACCCAGCCAAACTCACTACACACTCTCAAGCTCTGTCAAACTTGGTTATACCCGGCGAGATCCTTAACACCGTTCCGTGCTTCTATCCTCAGGATACTGAAATCCTTCTCCTCCACGCCGCAACCCCCCTCCGGGCTGGACAGGCAACTTTCTCTCATGCCGGCTGCTCCCTTGGAGCGGCACCGCTGCTCCCGAGGGAGCGCACCCCGTAGCCGGGTGCAGTGAGTGCTTTGGGGCTGGGTGGTCTGTCCTCTGGACGGGCTCAGCCCCGGCGACTCACTAGGGTGCCTGTCCAGACCAATGTCTCCCCCTATATCCTATCATCCTCCCGGCTCTGAAATGGTCTTAATGGACCGAAAGGACCTAACCCAACAAAACAAAAACAAATAAGACCCTAAACCCGGTATGTCGTCCTCACAAGCTGGTGGACGGCTAACGATAAGCCCGGTGACTGGCATAGTGACTGTGACTCTCACACACTAATGATCAGAGGTGGGCATCGCTACCGGAATTTGGAAACCGCTACCGCTACCTTCCGCAACCTGAGGTACCCAAAGCGCAATCGCAACTCCGAAACTATTTTTCAGATCTTGAAACCGCAACTCGCAACTCCGCAACTCCGCAACTCCGCTACCCATCTCTATTAGGTACCTATGTTTTATCAGTTTTCGCCCTGAAGTGCAGTGCTATGTCTGATAGGAAGCATCTTTTGAAAGTCACCAGAGGTCATCAAAGTGAAAATGTTCCCGGTTTTCCAGGATTTTGATGAATTTCAGCCTCAGACGATCTAACTCGAGAACCAGAAGAGCTAGAGCGGCGCGGAAAAAGAAACTATAGTCCATTTATAGCACTATGTGGAGTAAGACGTCAGATTGGACCTCAGATCAACAGTTTAGCCTCCAGGGGTCAAAAATTAAAAAATAGCCAATATTGATGAAACTAGTTTTTATCTGGCATAACTTCTAACATAATTTAGCTAGGTCATTAATCTAATCGCCATAGCATTTCTCCACCAAGGTGCGTCGTTTCGAGGCCATCAATGATATATAAGATGACCTCGAAAGGTCAAATGCAAAATTTGACCTCAGTTGAAGGTCACGACCTGACCCAAATAGGCCATGCTGCATATCAATTGATTAGTCTTGACGAGATAAACACAATGAACTTGTCCTGGAACCTGTATTTCGCTTCAATCCCGTATCTCGTTGGCGGCCCCGGTAGCGGTTGCGCTTTAGAATTTTTCCCTTCCGCAACTCGCAACTCCGCAACTTTTTGGGGCTCGGTAGCCGATCCGTAACTCCGCTCCCATGAGGGTAGTCCGCTAGTTGCGGAGTTGCGGAGTTGCGGACCTAAGTTGCGCAATGCCCAGCTCTGCTAATGATGCATCCCGGCTTAAATATGGATGACACAGCCCATACAGTACAGCCGGTGGTACAGCCGGTGGCTGTCAAAGCGTAGCCATTGGCCGACACAGCCACTGACACTGTCCAACGGGCGACTGACACGGTCCGGCCTGGCGACTAGCTCGCATAATTGACACAGTCCAGCCGACGACTGACGCCCACGCAGTGCTCACACAATCCCGTCCAATGGCGGCCTGTGGTGGTAGGCTGTGCCGCACGACACGCCTGGGAGTCGTTCCGACCCTGCCTGGCCGCCCGCGCGGCGCAGCGTCCAGCATCGTTCGGCCGGGTGCCTGCCTGCCAAAATCGGCCCTGCGCGCTGCGGCTGGCAGTCGGTAGTGAGTTTTCAGTGGACGGAGGTCGAGCTCGAGCCGGCTGTGGTGGCGGCGTGGGACAGGGGAGGGGTCTGTTGTCTTCACAACATACCGACAGAGGCGCTGTTTTGCATCGACAACCATGGAGGCAGAGTGCCTTTTACTGTTGACACGGTTTATGAGGTGTAAAAAGCTGCTGTCGAAAGGCGGCAGCACAAAGAGAAAGGTCATACCTACCATACGCTGTGAGGATGCCTTTCAGTAATTAACCTGGTTATTTACACCAGTGTTTAGAGGCTGGGACGCGCCTCAGCCGATAGAAAATCACTCATAAACTTTTTGTTTTCGTTGGGTCTAAATGCCTATTTCTGTTCTTCAGGTCGCCTATTTTATAGGTGCCCTTCCGTGTGATTGTTGCGGCCACCCTTTTCTTTGCCAAACGGACCTGTTCTTTGCTGGCGCCGTCTTAGAAGGAGACATTTAACGAAATCCCTCAATTAACAGCAGATCCGATGGCACGACAGCGAGCCTTTGGCGGGAATTCCACCGCCATTGGCAATTTCCTCTGAAAAGTTCGCCATTTACTCTCGCGCTCACTAATTAAAGTCATCTACGCCTCGTGGCCGGCTTCAGCGCACTGTTTTCAGCCCTGGCCTCTGGTGACCGATTTCATAGTTCATTGAGCTTCTGGCTGCGCTCTCTCTGGTCATTTTAGGCTTGTAGACACGTTGATCACCTTTGGTGACCTCTCGGGATTTCCCTCAGTTTCCTGGTGTCAGTCCGGTCATAGCCATGACCTTTGGGTCCCAGCTCATATCAGACGACCTCTTTGGTCACCCCCGGTCATGGCCACGACCCCTGGGTCTCGGCGCGGGACCGGTGGCTCCTCAGTTGGACGCTGTTGCTGAGCCATCACCACCTATCGACCGTAGCTAGCTCGCCCCGAGTCGGTCCGACGCGCCCGCTGCGACGGTGGCGACGGACGGCGACTGATGCGCCGTCCCATCTACGACATCTACGAACGGATCGTTCCCGACGGACCCTTTGTCCTGTCATTCTGTCCATCTGTCCCCATATCCCTCTGTCCCTCCTTTCATTCGACCTATCTGTCCTCCGTTCTGATCTGGTCCTCCGCCATCTATCTGCTCTTATCTTTCTGCCCATCTATCGCTGTCTGTCTGTATCCCTATATCACCCTGCTTCTGCCTCTGACCCTCTATTCCCATACCTGTATCCCTCTGCCCTTTTCGATAAGCAAGGGTTAGCGACTCGCGTATTGCGTCTAGTAGCGACTCGAGAGTTATGTTTACGCCGTACGATAACGATATACGATCTGCATCAACATTGTGGAGTGGCACTGCCGATTGACACCTTCTTTGTTGTGTTAGCTTGGGCTGTTGGCAGGCTTGATTTATGACGCACTGTTGTGAGCCTTGCAACCGTCTGTGATCGCAAGTTGCTCTCGCGTTTAATATGGTTACACCAATGAGCTTCACTTTTCGCACCAAATTTAATAATGATTCGATAATGATGATCTATCAAAGACATCAGCACGTCTCACAGTCTGGATATCGCACCTGTCAACTAAATTACCTGTATCAAAGTGCCTTTGCTAGGCCATATTCCTTTATCTGCGATTGGCCACTTCCGCCCGCTTCTCCTGTGGCAATTTTGCCCCGGCCTTGTTTTACAGTGCTGGCAAGTGGTCCAGTTCAATGGCCAAGGTTAAGTTTAATGGCGATGTAGTCCCCGCGCTCTCTCACATGCTCTTCATGCGGCCAGACTTCCTGTTTGCAATGGGTGACCCACACTTTTCCCACCGCCGCCTTTTTCTTTCTGTCCTCTCTTATAGATCATCAGACCTTCCCCTCTCAGCCTGTCCCCTTTCACTGTTCAGCTACCCGGACCTATTATCCCTGCTCTTGTCTTTACTTCTCCTGTCCCCTCTGACGGGTTGGCCGACGACCGAGACCTTTTTCCCTGGTCCGCCCGTCCCGTCTTACGGTTCAGTAACCCAGACCTCCATCCCTGCCCCCGCCCTTGTCCCTGTTCCGCCCTGCCCTTGTACCCTCTGACGGGTCTGCCGGCGATCAAGACCTCCATCCCTGCCCATTGCCCTGTCCCCTCTGGCTAGCGTGCCGTCGACCCAGACCTTCCCTGTCCCTATCCCCTGTGGACCCTCTGACGGACCTTTCGGCGACCGAGACCTCGTTCGGTGCCGGTCGCAGGCGCCGCCTATTGATCGGGCTGCTGGCCGCGCGCCTCGACCCGTCTCTGTCGACGATATTGGCTAACGCCGTCCGCTGCCAAACGGGCCGACGGCCGCCCATTGACGACACTCGGATGGCGTCCGATGGCGGCACGGTGCCGCACGGGGAGCGAGGGTGGAGCTGATTGGGTGGGTGGAAGCGGATGTGGGGATGGGAAGGATGTTTTGCTGCGTGTTTGTGAAGCTCTTTGGCTTAACTTCTACGTGTGCTTGACAGCTTCTACAACTTTTACTTCTGCCACTTTTTACCTACATTCTACTATGTTCTACAACTTTTACCTCTTCTTCATTCGACGTACAGATCTTTTGAATATTTCTGACTGCTGAAAGACATGATGATGCTCATGATTTTTAGAAATGACAAGGAGGGTAATCGGTGACAGATATTTCTGGCTTGCGGTGTCATCGGCGCCAATTTCTTTGTGTTATTTCGAGTTTCAGCTGGTCTATTATCTTTTATTGTTTAACCGCAGTCCACAGCGATGTCCCCTCTGAACTACTCCCTTCTATTGTCTCACTTATGAAATCATGCTGATGGCACGACAACTTTTTATGGCGGCTATAAATTCATCACACCAGCGAGTTGGACCACATCCCGAAGATAGCGATGTCGTCTTCCTTTATACCGGGGATGTTTGGCGTTGTAAAGCCCCCCATGCGGCCACAGAGACGCCATTGTTTTGGTTAGCACATTCTCGGCTTCTGGCTCATCGTTTTTCTTTGATAAACACGTTGTACGCTGTCCGCATTCCGGGCCAGGCTCAGTTTATTGACTTCTGTCTCAATGTTGTGACCGCGGCGATTGACGTAGTAGAACACCCAGTGCTCCGTGAGGCTGTCCGAGGCTTTACCTCGTAGCAAGAATACCTAATTCTTAGCCTTTCCCTCATTCCTTTGTCTCCCAGTGTAGGTACAGTTTTATCATCACCAAACCCAGTTGATCCAGCTGGCGATTGTAAGCAAGTTCCGGTGGTTCTGAAGCCAGTTGCGCTCCGCTGCTGCTTGTGACGTGTCTATGATGTCACAGTGGTGCCCCCTTCCTGTGTGATACGCACAGCGGAGGGCCTCGCTGTGACATCAGCCCACATAATGCCATCACCCCGGCCAGCCACACGGAACGACACCACACATCCGTGTCACTCCTGCGTGTACCCCGTTCCGTGACCCGCGGCGGCGTCGGTCCGGTTTGCTCCGGCTGTGTCCTGTCGTGCCGCTGCGTGGTGATTGACCCAGAGTCAGCTGTGTGCCGGTTACGCCATCGGAGGGGGCGCAGCGCCGCTCGATCCGAGGGGGGGGGGGGAGGGGGAGGAACCCAGTCAGGGCGTGGACTGGCCGTCGGTGGTGAGTAGTCGCATGATCTATTATTTACGAAAGGGAGTACAAAGACGATGGAGCTGCTTTCCACGAGGTCAGTGGACTGAAGAAGTGCTTGTCTGTGGTGTGTCGATAAAATCGATGCCAAAACCTTCTCTAAAGACAAGAGAGAAAGAAATAAAGAAATGAATCGGTTAGTTATTTCTCTAACGTTGCATGCCAAAGAAACCAAGAAACTCTTGCTTCCGCTTGGTTGGATCCTGCTCTCCTCTTGGACCCTAGCGAAAACTCCGAATTAAAAAAAAAACTCCGAAAACTAGTGAATTAAGGAGATTCCAACCGACGAATCGAGTGAATGAATGAATCGAGGAAACGTTGGGCAGGCAGCTTCAACACAGGGAATCTCGTTCGTGACCTTGGGTCCGTTCGCTGATGCAATGCGACTCCTTTTGTATCATTAGCCTGAAAGTTATTTTTTTGGCTACATTTTGTTTTTACTGTAGACATAATGGACACTTAAGTGTTGTTTAGAGATCCCTGAAGGCCCCGCTTCGCACTATAACGCCGGTAATAAAGACACAGTATCCAACGTTATGGACACTCAAATTACCCTATTCTTCTCTAATGAAATGACACTTGTCTCGTTCAAGTCCCCGGAACAGCATGTGCCCGCTGAACGCCTCAGTTGTGTGACATAAACCAGCTTGACCTGAGTATCCCAACCAACCCGACCCGGCCTGACCTGACGTGATTGGGTGACCCCCACGTTACTTGACTGGACACGACCCATTCTAACCTAACCTAAACTCATCTGACCCGACCCAATCTGCCCCGACTTGACCTGACAAATTGTCGTCTGTTCCATCCACAGAAGAGCGTGACTTCCTCGAGAGTGATGATGTGGTGGAAATAAACGGCATCACCTTCAACAAGCCGTTCGTGGAGAAGCCGGTGTCTGCTGAGGACCACAACATCTACATTTACTACCCGTCGTCGGCCGGCGGCGGCAGCCAGAGACTCTTCCGCAAGGTAGCGGAGGTAGAGCTAGAGGGTGGGGTTGGGGGGGGAGTGGATGGTTGTGTCGGAGAGAGGGGAAGGGTGGGAAAGGGGACACCTCTAACAGAATGTCAGAGGTAGATGTGGCTGGGTGGGCGTGGTAATTGGTTAGGATAACGTTCTGACATGACAGTCTGACACCCTGACAGATCGAATCCTTTCTTTATCCGACAGGGTGGGTGGAATGGGTCGGTTGGGAAGGGAGAGGGGCGTGGGTGAGGCGTCGATCCGGTCACGTCGAGACGATGCCAGATGGGCGGGCGCGCTGCCAGACTGACGTAACACGGCTGCTGTGTCGCGGCGGTGGAGGTGGGTCGGTGATAGGTTAATGAAGGCGAGTGGGAGGGCGCGGCTCGGCCGGTTGGCTGTTCCGCCGGTGTCCGGTTGGCTGTCAGACAGAGCCGGTTCCGGTCCCCTCCCCCTCCCCCGAATGGTCGAGGTGCCAGAAACGGTCACACTCAGCGGCTATCGAACGGTGACACTGTCAGAGTAGGGGCTTCACGGGCCAGCCAAGCGATTTATTTATGAACGACGGCTATCTATGGGTGACGTTTTTAGTGGAGCTCGGAAAAGACGTCTATTTTTGTACGTCCTGTCATAAAATGAAGATCTCGCGAACTAGCCTAGCGACATCTAGATGACCTATGCTGGGGTGACTTTTTTTTAGCTGAGCTCGTACCCGATGTCTATTTTTGTCAGTCGGAATCTAGGGCTGTCTGATCGCGTTAGTGAGGGCATCCCTTATGGGTTCGTCGTAGATCTTTTTGATCAGACCTTGGGGAACCATTAATTATTCAGTAATTCCTGTTTGCTATTCTGTCCGCGGATTCATATGCTGAAGTGGTGTTGATATGTCTCTGAAGTCCCGACTTCGGCTAGCTTATACCACTTAACCATAGCTTTGAAAATGTGACGGCCCTTACGTTCCTGTCATTTCACATTCATACCAGCGTGTTTTCATCTTTCTTCAGTTGCATCGCTAGATACCTTTACTTTCTATACGATCACAACTTATTATCGATTGAGATTATCTTCTTGTTTTGTCCTGTAATGACAAGTCTTGTCCAAGGACCAATCGTAATAAAGTTTTTAGTTGGTTTAATTTTTTGCGTCTGGCTCCAGTGCCTATTGTGTACACTGACTTTGTGTGACCATCCAGAACACGATCATTGTGTGTCTGAATCGGACTCTGTTTTGTGTGGTTGTCTGGCAATGTGTTAACGGTTCTGGATGGATATTGTGTGTCTGTTTTATGCGAAAATCTGTTGTCGCTCCTGTTTGTTTATAGTACACGTATCTATGTGGTATCTATGTGTCTGTTAGTTACATGTGTAGGGGAGAGTGGGGCACGTTCGTGCAAAAAAATGGATAAATCCATATATCTGTTCCTTGGTTGGTGCAATTGGAAAATTGTTGATTGTAGTATGGAAAGGAACTATTGCAGATATTTTCCCCTTTAAAAGTTATCCTCTAAAATTATCGCTTCTATTAGAAAACATGACTTTTAATAACTGAACGTTTGCACGAAACTGCCCCAGGTATGGGGCACATTCGTGCAAGGGGTGGGGCACTTCTGTGCACCCTGCAAAGTTCGAGGAATTACCGGGCATTACCATAAATTTACCAAAAGAAATTGGCAGGGGGTCATTTCACTTGATTTCTTTCGACAAGAATGCATTGCACAACATATGTAAAAAGAATGGGCTGGCCAACAAGAGTGTGCCAACTGCCGGCCTCCGTGACCTCGCCAATGTTGCGTGAATTACTTGTCACGACGTCGCAAGCAGCCGAGACTGAGTCAGGCGAGCGTCATTAGTGAAACCTACTACAGAATACAGATAAAGTCATAAATCGCAAAAACTAAAAAAAAAATATGCACGAATGTGCCCCTAGGCAGTGCGTACACGAACCTGCCCCACAACGTTATTTGTAATATATTTCAAAATTTCTTGTTGAAAAAATGACACTTTTTCAACAAGCAAGTTTGCAGCAGTTACGTGAATAGAGGGAGCTTCTCCGCCCCCCAATTTTGAAAAGCTGAATCACATTTCCGAGTCAGGATCACGAAAATGAATGATATGAGAAAAGTTTGGAAAGCTTACGAATATTACAAATTCTGCGTTTTTATCAAGCATGACAGCAGATACAGTGTTGTCTTCTACAGTAACCGAAGGGCGGCAATGATTGACATGTTTCCATAATTTACCTTGAGCTCGTGCAGTCACTCGTGCTCCCATAAACTGCTGAAAACGAATGTGCCCATGCACGGATGTGCCCCACTCTCCCCTATGTCTATGTTCTGTACAGATCGGCAGTCTTCTCAATGTGTTCCGTCTACCTGACAGTGTATTCTGTATTACGTACTTACGTTGTGTATTACTTTCCGTGTATTACGTTCTGTACAGAATATCGGCATCTACTCCAGCGTGTATTGTGCACCTGACTGTGTGTTTATATTCTGTACAGATCGGCATCTACTCCAGCGTGTATTGTGCACCTGACTGTGTGTTTATATTCTGTACAGAATATCGGCAGCCACTTTATCGTGTATTGTGCACCTGACTGTGTGTTTATATTCTGTGCAGATCGGCAGCCGCTCGAGCGTCTACTCGCCCGAGTCCCGGCTCCGGCGGACCGGCAGCTACATCTACGAGAACTTCATGCCCACGGACGGCACTGATGTGAAGGTGAGGCAGGGAGACGGGTCCAGCGGTTTTTGCTTACGTCACTGACTCACTGGTCACTATGTAGTGTGATCATAAATCACTGATCTGGTAACAGATCCTGTCACAGATGATTAAGGCAGTTATTTGTGTAATGGCCGAGGGATCGAGCCGTACGCACTACGCAGGCAACTGCAAACCGGGCTAATTGATACCTGCATGACTGAGGTCACCATTATCACTGAGAGTATTGCTGTTGTTGGGATTCACTGAAATCACTGAATGTCACTGCGAGTCCCTCAGAGTCGGACAGGGCGGGCGATATCGACCCGTCTCCTGACATCTCTCGTCGCTTCCATCTGTCTGTTGAGCTACCGTGTCGGCTGACGCAACAACTGCGGCGCAGAGCTGACCAGCCGCTACCACGGCACTCTCCGCCGTCCCTCGACACACTACGACACTAGGAGCTCTCATCCTCTGAGACCTCGGGGGCGACTCACTGTGGTGGCAGGGAAGCTGCTTCGGCTGGCCTTACTCGGAATGAGACAACCGCAGAGTCTGGGCGTGGGACGTCATAGGGATTCTGGTACGGGAATGGTACGGCGATCGGCAGTAGGTTTCCAAACGAGACTGCTGTCGGGCTGCTGGCTTCTGAAGGTGGGAGGATGTCAGAGAATCCAACAGGCGCTGATGGAGATGTGTTGCTGTTACTGATTCGTTGGATTGACAGTTAAACAAGACTGTGAATGCCGGCAGGGATCAGCGTCGAGTTGATTGATTTTGTCACGTGCCTCTCGAACAAACCTTGCTAACGATTTCAATGAAATATGCATACAAGATTGAACACTTGACCGGACTGGCCCGGTTTGACGTGGTTCACATGAAATATTGAATATCGAACTGGACTAGCCCGGTTTTACGCTGCTGCAAGTGACACGGCCCACGGCTAATTTATCTTTCATATGCGCTCTGCAGATGGACACATCGGTGGCATTGGCTATTTATGGTGCTGGGAGTCGGGACCACAGTCACAGTTAAACGCTACAGGCGATTTCGTTCTGCACAGCATCGAGTTTGGTCGATGGGTCAACGCTCTGGCCGTCGCTCCCATTTGTGATCAATGCGCTGCGATTGCGACCATTTATATCATTACTAATCCAGCAGCGGGCCAGCCAAACACCATAGCTGGCTGTTGCAACTGAAACAAGCACAGATATCGGCTTTTATAAAGGACTTAGCCACAGACTTAGCGGATTACAGGCGCTGAAAATAGCACATAGATCAGGTGTTCCACAGAGCATCAGTCTTCAACTCAGCTTGCACTATTGTTTTGTGCTTTGTCAAGATGGTAGCTACATCGCAGTTGCCTTTACAGCTACGGTCGCAGAGCTGAATATCTCGCACAGTTTTGCATGTCCGCTTAATGCCTACCCATATTGCTCGTGGCTTCATTTCACCTGGCACAGCTCATAAGGCTTATGCTTTGTAGTGTTCATTGGTAAGCACCATTATCTCTGGGCTATTTTGCTATCTAATAATTGCTGATGTATCCCGGGTCGTCAAATATCCAAACTCCAGCTAGACAAGGACGTTGACTCTACGTTACGCTCTGCAGTGATCTGGGTCGATGGGTGCACCCACCAGATACCCACCGCTCCCACCGAGAATATGGCCACCAGGTTCGAGCCCCATCAATTAGTACAGTCGGACTGACCGACGGACAGGCGGACGGGCGGTCGTTGGCAGTGGTGGCCAGATGCGCAGAATCACGAGCTCGACGGCGCTGGGCACGATGCGTAGATCTTCGTCGAACTGCGCAGGGCCTATTAGGCCCGTGGGTCAGGAGATCTGCCTCGTGGAAGCCGTACGGACGCTCCCAAAGCACATGTCTGGCAAATGTCGGTGTCCCGATTCCGCGGTACGAGCATCGTGTGACGGCGGGTGACTGACTCTGATGTTTGGTATGACGCCGCGCGGTGGTCAGCCGTTTAATGGCGGTGGTCTGGTGGCTGGCGTGTGTAGATGATCAGGCTGATGCTATCTGACGTCAGACTGACGTAACGCTCAATTGCAGGCAAAGTTATCAGCTGCAGCTGTCTGGGAAATTCAGCCGGTTAGTTTGGAGCTTTGGTTTACTTTTGAGAATTTCGATTATTAAATTCATAGGGGCTTCCTAAGACGTTGCCATTGAAAATAATTAATTGATCACCGAGCTTGGCAACGAATTCAACACGTTAGTAGTAAATCGTTTATAACAATTTACATGTTAACTGCAACAAAGTAGCGTTTGGTTTGCATAGAACATAATTGTAATTTTGTAACACTGATTTGGTACTGACTCGTCTATTTCTACAATGATCGGCTGACATAGTCAGGCTGACAGTCTTGTCATTGGCTACAGTTATGACCTTGGCCAGTCAAAGAACCCGTCACCGCATACGGCTATACCTTAAGCTAGTCTGAGGACTCGTCTCTGCTTCATTAGTGACCTGGGCCACTTACAGGAGTCGTTACATCGTGACAGAGGAATAGTGCATAGCTACCAACTTCTGTGGCCGCGTGGGTTTCCAACGCTTCGAGAAGTCATGTCTGTCCGACCTTAGAAATTATGTAATATATACTGGCATAATCATTGGAAAAGTTCGGTAACATCGGGTGCGTAGGCGGGCACTTTTATGTCAGTCAAGCGGGAGATTGACAAACTTTATGTCCGGGATACGGTGCCGGGTTCAGTCGGTACTTTCAAGCTCACCGGGAAAAGGTTATTGATATCCCCAGAGGCATCTGACCTCCGTGGAGTCCAGACAGCCTCTCACGGCCAGTTCCGTGATGTGCTGCCGTTATACCCACACAGCTGAGATTTTGGCGCTGCGGTGTCATATCAGCCGCTGCGGCCGGCGGTCGTCACCACCAGCCCATCCATCCGTTCCGTTCCTTATGACTGTGCCGGCTGCAGGGGATCGGACGGCCATCGGACGGTCATCCGTCTGGGCGGCGACACGTGCGGCTGATTGCACCCAGCTGCCACCGGTGGCTGATGGCCCGCCAGCGCCGCGCGTCCAACTCTCTGGCGCGCTCTCCCCTGGGAGGACGGCTTCTTCTGCGCCGTTCCCCAGGGAAAGCGGCTCTGAAGGATAGGTGTTCTGCTGTCCTCTGGGTCGGCTGGTCGTTGCACGGATGTATCGCCCGTATGTGCTTTCCCAGGATAGAAACGAATAAACGGATTCCTGGATAGAAACGAATAAACGAATCCCTGGATTGAAACGAAACGACGCTGGCAATGTGGTGATCAACCGTTTCTGGTTTGACTGAGCAGCTCGCTGCACCGTTTCCGGCTATGGACTCGGTGGTTGGCTGTTTGTTTGAGGCGTCGGCGGGGTGCGAACAGATGGGTTCCGGCTGATGCTCAGTAGATCGCTGCCAGTGAGCGGTCCCGGACAGATGATCTGGGAGCTCGGTTGATGGAGGACGTACTGAACAAAATGGGATTCTGGCTGTGATCACCCAGCTTTGGTAACTGAAGGTTCTTATAACTGAAAAATTAATGATCCAAGTGAAGTTCAAAGGTGAGGTCTGGAGCGAATCATGTGTAATGATTGATGCTTTGATATGTAACAGCACCGCTAAACAGACGAGGGAAATCCCTTTTCTAAAGATAGCTTAGCTCACTTATTTCACTTACTCGTACCGTTGAATGGTCCAGCCGCTAAGCTTTCGTTCTGAGGTATACGGTAAACGTGCTGGCTTAGAGAGTACGGACGTCTTGTCTAGAGGCCTATTAACTGGGGCAGTAAGTGTGAAAGTACCTACCTATCAGTGTCCTCTTTTGCGGCTTTTACTGTTTCTGTTCTCCATTTTAATCCACCTTTTGATGCTCTATCACTGTACTATCCAAGCCGGTTGTGAATGTGCTTCATGTCTGCTTCTATGTCTTATGTAATCCTGGCTCTTTTCGCCCCGTCATTGTACGCCTTTTTCTCGTAACGTGTCACTAATGAGTGTCATCACAGGAGCCGGCGGCCCGGCGACACGGACCTCCACTCGGGTGTAGCGACATTATGCCTGATTAGCCGCTAATGAGCCACCAATCAGCCGTCAATCAGCGCGGCCTGCCGTCTCGCGTGCTGCGTCCCGATATCGATCAGCCCAAAAACACCCGAAAATGACCCTGTTTCGTCCGCCGGCAATTGATACGTTCAGTTTTTCCCCTCTTGGTGCTCCACTCCTGATTACCTACGCTACACGTTTGGTGTGAAATGCTGAGTCATTGCCTTTGATTCTGCTTTTTAGAATAGCTAGTATCTTTATGTTTATTAAGTTGTTAAACTGGCCATTTTAATCTAGCTGGACGACACGCAGTGGAAATAAACCAGCAACTTTTATGCGGCGCTAGAAAAAGCAAAGTCCTTGAATTTTCTAGTACGACTAAAAAAAGTTAATGCACAAAACGCAGGAAGTGCAGGACGTGGGAAGTGTGATTCAAGTAATTGAGAGTGTCGTAAAACAGACCGGAGATAGATAGAGATGTGGAGCTCCCAGTTGAGTTATCGCTCAGTCCCGTGCCCCACAAACATTGCTTTCCATGCCGGATTTGACATTTATTTTAAAGAGCTAAAAAATTTAAAGGGCAATGGCGCTGGCAACCTGACGGTTTTCCGCTGACGCGATGAATCCTTTTGGATCTTCGCGGCGGTCTCAGCTCTGATCTGGTGGTCGACGAATAGCACCTGGACAATTAAACCTGGGAAGACAAAGGGAAGAACAGTTTAGACTTGGCTGACTGATTCGGAGAGGGGCCGGAGGGCCGGTCGGCGGGGACTCCCCTGCGCCGACCACTCTCGCCGCTCCGGTCCTGTCCGTTCTGAGAAGGGCCCGGTCCGGTCGGGCCGGAGACACTGTCGGTGGGCTGTGAACTGTCGTCGCCACCAGACCGGTCCAGGACTGCCTCCGGCGGGCTGACGAAACGCGGTGTATCGGTGGCGATCGGAGTCGGGCGAACCCGGCCTCCTGTGATTGCTTATGACCGAGACCCGGGGAAAATTTACAACTCAATCAGCTCAATCAGCTTTACAATGTTGATCGTGTGCATAGGAAGAAGTTGTTTGTACCGTTTGGATTAACTTCAGTGCGTCGTTGGAGGTAGGCGATTTGTATTTAGCGGTCCAGGTGAATCCCTAAACTTATGTTCCAAACATGAACATGTCACAATCGGTGTCGCTCAGTGATCCAGTGGTTCGTCAGATCGTCAAACACACACTCGAGCTGCCAGTAAGACGATCCACACTGATGGCGTGAGACCCAGTGACGTCCCACTCGACCTACACCAGTGGCTCGTGGAGACACGGTGGTTTTCCACGACGACCCGTCTTACTGGCGTGAGGACCCGCCAGCATCCGGCTATTTTTCGGCTGCTGCTGACGTCACCACGATTGAGAGCCCTCGTTTGGGCGCAGGATGAGTTATAGCCGCTTAAAAAGGAGCACCGTCGCTCCTGGGATCGAAGTGGTTTGTCGGCGCTGACACAGTTATGTTATTTTCGAACCGCGGAAATGAAGACAGTCGAGACACAAACATGTTTGGCACAGCCGCTGACTAAGGCATCGTGCTTATGCGCTTATGGGCAAAAGAACATTTTCTATGTTGCGTATGCCGTGAATGCGGATCCACTTATTTTATGGCGCTTATGAAGTTGGAAGCGTGCAGCGAAGAACAAATAATGTATTTTTTACGGCCGAGAGCCTTGTTTTTTGCTACCTTGTATGGTTAGCCAATTATGCAACGGTTGCGGTGCTTCACCAAACGATTACAAGGATTCCTTTTGACGCTCACGCGTGTCTTACTTGAAGGTCAGTTTGTCGAGTGTCCGCTCATGTCTTCGTCTCTCGCTCGTTCGGGGCCTGATTTTCAATTAGAACATTATTCATTTCGCTTAGCATTTAGTGTAACCAGGGTCCAACTCTCCACCTCGAAAGGCTATTTGCAGCTCTGATTCTCAGTACACATTGTATCCAGTATATAATTTCCAGTTCACGCGTTTCCCCGAACCGCATCGGACCACACCCAACTCAACCAGTCCAGCCGGCTGGACACGCCCCGCTCTCTGTTTTGTGTCAGTTCTCCAGCCAATGCCACCCCTTTTTGTCACGTGTTATGCCACGTGAGAATCCTCCTAGGTGTGGAGACGGGCCAGTCTGTCACCAAGGCCCCACTGCCATCAGTTATCGCTCTTCACCGACCTGCCCCGTGTCCGGAACTGAGACAGCCCACGCTGCCCGTAATTACCGTCCACTCTGATGACGGATGGCCCACTGGGGGTCGCAGGAGGTCAGTCGGGATGGACACATTCCGCGCGGATAAGGGCCGGGCAAATGTCACATTCCCTGTGGTATAAATAGTGGTGATGGGCGACGGTGCCGTATAGCGAAGGCAGGCCGCCTAGCTCCGTGATATTAGGCCCCGAAGGTGTTCCATGAATCCGTCAGATGTGCCATTTGGGAGGTCGTCAGTGCCATCTCTGCATTATGGACGGCGGGGATCTGACTGCGGGGAGGTCTCCCGCCGGTCTTAATGTGGGTATCTTTTTGTGGTAAATGGGTGTGGTGGCGCCGGGTGGTGATAGCTGATAAAGACGCTGTTGCCGACCTGCTGTTGAGACACCGCTGTCAGAGGGATATTGAGACATTACTTCAAACGGTGGACAGATGTTTTACTGCCAATGTGAACAACGAGGCACTGATAACTATTGCCTATATAATTCTGAAACACTTCTGCCAACAACGGTAGGAGCGAGACAGAACGCTGCCAACGGAGACATTTAGGACATTGACAACATGCGTCTGGGAGAGGACCCCCATTATTAGACGCCCCATTATTGGTGAAAGCGTTCATCTCCATGTTAGTACCGTCTTTACCAACAGTCCTTCCCTTCTCCTTCCCCAGGCGTTGTACCCTAATGCACTATGCGCGCTCATCTCCGTTCATTTCCACGTCGGTTGACACCCCCTCTCTCTCTCCCCCCAGGTGTACGTACACAGTTAGCCCCGAGTACGCGCACTCTCTTTTCTGTTCATTTCTACCCCCGTTGACACTCTCCTCTCTCTCCTTCCCCAGGTGTACACAGTCGGGCCCGAGTACGCGCACGCTCATTTCTGCACCCCTGTTGACACACTCATCTCTTTCCGTCCTCAGGTGTACACGGTCGGGCCCGAGTACGCGCACGCCGAGGCCAGGAAGTCGCCGGCCCTGGACGGAAAGGTCGAACGGGACCAGGACGGAAAGGTTCGTGTGCGATAGTCTATATATTTGCATTATTCGCGTATTAATCGTAATGCTCCCGTTGCCACTGTAGCGATGGTGCTACTGCCAATGTCATGCTTAGCGACTCTGCACTCACGTCAGTTTAGCTGTTACGGTATGACTGGGTGCACTATCTGAACTATGTAGAGCCATATCGACCGGCCTTTGACTCCCTCGAGACCCGCTCTGACCCGAGCCCAGCATTCAGGTGGAATATGCGTCATTGACCTTGACCTTTCGCTAACCGTGACCTGCTCTGACCCCTACAGGAGGTGCGCTACCCCGTCATTTTGACCAACAACGAGAAGCTGATCGCCCGCAAGGTGTGCCAGGCATTCAAGCAGACCGTGTGCGGGTTCGACCTGTTGAGGTGAGTGCTGAACTGCTGAGTACTGAAGGTAGGTACAGAGCTCCGCGCGCAGTGCTACCGATGGGATAGACGGTGATTGACTCAATACTCAGGGGCAGCTCATTTGTGACATCAATCACTGACGTTAAAAGCGTTTTGGATTTCCCTTTGTACGCGATTGGGCAGTCCCTTTGAGGACGGCCGCTTCTAATGAGTGACAGGCTAGATGGAAATATTGATGTGTAACGGCCGTGCGGCTTTAGTAACTGTATCTGGTTTCTGTCCCTCTGATATTGCTGGATTTCAGCCTGAATCTATGGATCAGACCATCAGAGGCCATCATCAGATAGTACCATCAGATCGTATCTATCCCTCTGAGTCTGCTAGCCACTCGTTCTGTCTGGATTTGACGTCAGCCCGTTTACTCCCCCCAGCTAGCGTGGAACAGCCGTGGTGTTTATGATGGTTTGATGTGACCGGTCGCAACAGCAGCGAGGCTATATCGCACCCCCGTCTCACCACCCCTCCCGTCCCTCTTTTTATAACCGACAGAGCCAACGGGCGATCGTACGTCTGTGACGTCAACGGCTTCAGCTTTGTCAAAAACTCCAACAAGTACTACGACGACTCGGCCAAGATCCTGGGCAACATGGTGCTGCGGGAGCTGGCGCCGACGCTGCACATCCCGTGGTCGGTGCCGTTCCAGCTGGACGATCCTCCGATCGTGCCCACCACCTTCGGCAAGATGATGGAGCTGCGCTGCGCCATAGCCGTCATCCGACACGGAGACCGCACGCCCAAACAGAAAATGAAAATGGAGATCAGACATGAAAAGTACGCAAAGGGAGAGGGGTTGGTATTTTGTTGTTCCGTTAAGAGTATAGTTTTTGCTGTGATAAGTGACGACTGACGACTACATTTAAGTTCGATAGACATGAGTAAATTTATGTAAAACGTCATACCGAGTCACTTAACAGCTTCTAATGTATAAACAGCCATTTTTGGTGCTCGTACGCTGTTTAATTTTGCTGTATTTCAATACCCTACTTCGTGTACCGGAAAAACTAACGTATGCTGCTATGTCGTACGTCCAGGTTTTTCGCCATTTTCCACAAGTACGACGGCGGTCAGCAGGGCCACATCAAGCTGAAGAAGCCCAAACAGCTGCAGGAGATCCTGGACGTGGCGCGCGAGCTGCTGGAGGTGTCACCCGATCACCCGGAGGTCGCCAAAAAGCGAGCCAAGCTCGAGCAGCTGCGCAACGTCCTCGAAATGTGAGTGTAATATTGTCGACTGGCGGTGTCAGGTGTGCTTGTGTGCGTGCGTGTGCGCGTGTGTTTGTACCCTGGCTCTGGACGCGCTCTCCGTGTACCCCGAGTAGATCGGTCAGTACAGCGGGCTACGCACGGACGGACGGACAGGGCGGGGCGGGAACGGGGCGGTGGGCGGGGCAGGGTCCCGAGCATTGGACGGCCGGGGAGGGGACGGCCCTATCACCCGGTATATGCCTCCGCCGGGGTCTCTCCACCTCCCCTACGTTGGTCCACCATGGACGCTCTTTTCCTATCATAACAGCCCGGCTTCTCCCGTGTCATTCAGAGCTTACGCTATCCATAGCCCCGTGGCCTGTCCTGTCCCTTCCTCCACCTATGACCTTGATACGGACAACACTGTCCTACCACTTGACCTCCGGGGAGCTCTTTGGTCTGCCCCCTGCTGAGCAGTGTCCATTCCCTTAGGTTCCATTGCCCTTCGCACCTGATACCGTCCTTTTTCACTCGGATATCTTGGTTCTCCTTCTATCGCTTGTCTCTTTTTCGTTTTTTCTTCTTCTTCTCTGCTTCTGTTTTTCTTCGGCTATATCCCGATGAGCCTTCCGGTCGTCTCTTCGTCCATTGGCCACTGAGCAGCTCAACTGTTCTATGGCTATTCAGCCTATCTCCATGGCTGTTTGAGAATGCAATCTTCTGTTCAATTCATTCGCTTTTCTTCGTTCATTTCTAGCTAACGACTGTGCGATTTCGTTATTGTTCTAAGTTCTTTAGGCTCTTCTTGTTCTTTTTACGCTTATTCTACTCGTTCTTTTTCCTCTTTGTATTTCCTTCCTCTTTTCCTCTTTCTCTTGTTTTCTTATCTTCCTCCCCTGAGCTATCAGTGACGGTCCTCTCTCTGTCTCTCTCTATCCTGCCCTGAGCTACCAGTGACGGTCCTCTTTGTATTTCCTTCCTCTTTTCCTCTTTCTCTTGTTTTCTTATCTTCCTCCCCTGAGCTATCAGTGACGGTCCTCTCTCTGTCTCTCTCTATCCTGCCCTGAGCTACCAGTGACGGTCCTCTGTCTCTCTCTATCCTGCCCTGAGCTACCAGTGACTTTCCTCTCTCTGCTTCTCTCTACCCTCCCCAGCTGCCAGTGACGGTCCTCTCTCTGTCTCTCTCTATCCTGCCCTGAGCTACCAGTGACGGTCCTCTTTGTATTTCCTTCCTCTTTTCCTCTTTCTCTTGTTTTCTTATCTTCCTCCCCTGAGCTATCAGTGACGGTCCTCTCTCTGTCTCTCTCTATCCTGCCCTGAGCTACCAGTGACGGTCCTTTGTCTCTCTCTATCCTGCCCTGAGCTACCAGTGACTTTCCTCTCCCTGCTTCTCTCTACCCTCCCCAGCTGCCAGTGACGGTCCTCTCTCTGTCTCTCTTTATCCTGCCCTGAGCTACCAGTGACGGTCCTCTCTCTGTCTCTCTCTATCCTGCCCTGAGCTACCAGTGACGGTCCTCTCTCTGTTTCTCCGTTGCAGCGTGCTCCTCTCTGACCAGCCGCCGGCCGTGGTGTAAGTCACATTGCCTCTGTATAGCTGTCAATACTCCGACGACCCGCCCGCCCGCCCCGACCGTCCGGTTTGCGTTGATTAGGGAGCTGGCATGTGCTCCCATCTCCCTCCCGTGTTAGCCCTAGGCGTCCCTCCCCAAGCGAAGCCCAGCTCGGTTTGGTGTTGGGCTGACCCCACTTTGTCCATGGCGTGAGGTTTGGTGTCGGTGGTGCATGACACTTCTTTATCTATTGCTCTCCCTTGTTTTGGGATAGCGTTTGGTTTGCGGTACTGCCTGTCGTGTGGTACTGTGTTGTGTGGTGTGGTGTGTTGTGCCGTGGTTTGCTGTGATTTGTGACTGGTCTGTGACTCTCGGTCAGCGATCTGCACGGTCAGCTCTCTCTCGGCTGAGGCGACATACCCTTCTGGTAGGGCCGTTACGACCGGTCGGCGTGCCTTTAACCGTACTGACTGGCCGTAATAGTGAAGCACACTCGTGGTACCGAGTGTCTGGGGTGATGTACCCCTCTCGGTACGGTACTACCGGAGTGGCGTACCTCTCCGGTACCAACGGCACACTCGGTGGCACACCTGTCTCCGCCGCATGACTGTTGGCGTGCGTGTCAGTGTCGCGTGCTGTGTTTCCGTAGTGTGGCGTAAAGGGTGGTGCGTGTGGCTGTGTGTTTGGTACTCCTGAGTCGCGTGGTGTGCAAAATAGAAGGTCTCCGCAGCTGAGACTGGCCTGAATGAAGCGAATTATGTTCTATATAGCACATTCAAATGTCATTTTCACACTTCTGCTTGCTCTGAGAGCTGGGCTTTGTTTACGGCTGGTCGCCTGCAGCTCTGCAGAATACACATTGCCATGGGATGGATGAGATGTGAACTGGTGTGTGATCACCAACTGGCATATCACAGCGCGCACCACTTCTGGCGGCACCACTCCTGATCCACCTGGTGACCTGACCTCCGCTCTGTCGGATTCCGCCCCCGGTGCGCTCCATATACCTTAGGTGACGGTCCTGTCTCGCTGCATCCTTCCCTTCGGGCTGTAAAGACGACCCGGCAGTGCTGACGAGGACGCTCGTCTGTCATCAGGTACGGCCACTTTTCCGGCATCAACAGGAAGATCCAGCTCAAGTATCAGCCCAAGGGGTGGAAACGCAGCAGCGAAACCGGTCAGTCCAAGACAGGGCAGCAGGGCAGTGTGCAGTGTGCACATAATGAATGTGTGAGGAGTGGGAGAGACAGATACCCCGTGGAAAATGTTAGCCTTGCTTATGATGTTCCCTGTGGTGCCCTGAATGTAACAATTTGTGTATCGGCCCTCTTATCTGGCAGTGCACCTTGCTCCTAACATGCTCCTGGTGACCGCCACTGTCCCCAGCAGAGACCTCGGACGACCCGTCTCTGGTGCTGGTGCTGTCCTGTCCTTCCCTGTCCTGTCCTGTCCTGTCCTTCCCTGTCCTGTCCTGTCCTGTCATGTCCTGTCATCAGTCCTGTCCGGTCCTGTCCTGTCCGGTCCTGTCCTGTCCTGTCCTGTCCTGTCCTGTCCTGTCCAGTCCTGTCGTGTCCGTGTCCCATTCTGACGATCTCCACTGTCCCTACAGAAACGTCGGACGACCCGTCTCTGGTGCTGGTGCTCAAGTGGGGCGGTGAACTGACTCCGGCCGGTCGAGTCCAGGCCGAGGAGCTCGGCAAAATTTTCCGTTGTATGTACCCGGGAGGCCAAGGTAAGTGTCGGCCGCTGGTCGGCCCACTCGGGGGGCGGGGTGAGATCGGTCCCACCCGTATCGGCTCCCAGTGGGACACGGCTGGGACACCCGGCGGGCCCGCGGGATGGGAGTACTCTGGCGGCGAGCGGCTGTCCCGTCCTCTCCTGCCGCCGCACCCGTCATGTCCCTCCTCCTGCAGCCGTGCTCACTGGTTGTGTTGCGTTGGTTTGCCGCCTACTGATTTTTTCCTGTATACTTGCATCAGTTGGACGCATTTTTCCTTTATATAGGTCGTTGTCCTGTTTTCAGATTGCTGTGTCTGGTTCCCTGTTATTTTTATCTCCCTGACCTAGGCCAGCATTGTGTCGTGTGCTTTGCATCCCGGGAATAGCGCACTAAATGAAATAAGACTGGAATAGTTAGTGGGCTCAAAAATGAAGAGTAACGAGTTCCAAATCCGGGAGTGGTGCGCTTCATAACACGAGTAGCGCGCTGCGTTTCACTGGAATAGCGTGCTGAACAACAGCTTATTGCGCTTCAAAATACGTGAATGTTGTCCTCAGTAGGTACCCAAGGAATAGCGCCCTTGAAACAGTAGGTTCATGCGCTTAAAATTCTTGAAATTGCACGCTTTGAGCCACAGTTTCACGTAACCGAAACTTTTGGAATGGTGCCCACTAAACTCTAGTAATTGCGCGCTCATGTAGTATAGAAAAATGCTCTGAACTTGTAGAGTTGCGCTCTTCTAACCGCCGATTGCCGCTCTCCCAGCCCGGCGGCGAGTCGCGCGCGGCACACTCTGGCCACGGTCGTCTCCGTCCCGCTCCCAGCGCGCTCTGTGTTTGTATGTTTGTTTGCGGGCGGGCGCCCCTGACGCGCTCGGCAGAGCGAGGAGGGGGAGAGAGGGGTGGAGGCGCGGCCCGGCTGACCGTTGGTCTGTATCCCTTTCTCTGCAGGTATAATGCAGCCGTGGGGATCAGGAATGTCGGAGGGCTTCCCCGCATATCACTGTTAGTGGGCTGTTCCGGCCGGCGCTCTCTCATTGTCTGCCACTCTGTAGCCGCCAGCGACCACCTCTGTTTCTTCTGTTCTCTGTCGCTTTTGGTTTGTGCTGGTCTCGGTATCTTTTGCTAATTGCTTCTGCTTGAGTTCTATCCTACTAACACCAGTCATCATCCTGGTTTGGTTGTGCCTGCACTCTGCGTTCTGATGATTCTTTTTGTGTCCGATTTCCATTTTACCAGCAAACGAGACTGCTGAGATATTTCACTGGTTATGTGCTGATCAATTAACACCTCATCGTTCACCCTAACTCACCTTAACATACCTCTTATTTGTGTATTTTGTGACAGTTGGGACATGGGTAACCTCGGATACCTTAGTTATCAGTTCCATCTGTTCCTAGCGTGATAGGGTGGAGGGGGGGGGGGAGGGGGCCAACACACTGATGATACTAAGCTATTCTGGGCATCCACAGTAGTGTACTCGGGTAATAGCGGAGACCCGGGGCCAAGGGAGTTGTAGGATGGCCAGGTTTTCAGGGTGGGGCCGTCCAGGGCTTAGCTTCAGGGTGGGGCCTATCCCCCAACTCTCGGGATCCTCCCATTCCAATGACCCGCCCGCCACTCCCATCCTTCCCCAGGCCGTACTAACCGCATGAACGCGAGATCGTCTCAGTGGCTGCATACCCGTCCTGCCTTCCTGTCTTATCTGTCCGCCCCGCCTCCGCCCCGCCCCCGCCTTCATTCCGCCCCGCCCCGCCTCCGCGCGTACGCTCGCTGCCCGAAACTACTGGCCAGTGCCGAAGCATGAAACGGTGACGATGGGGGAATATAGATATGGTTGGGATTTGGGCGCATGCGGATATAGATCGACGGGCTGTGTGCTGGCTACACGGTGGGAGTTTTCAGTGTTGGAGTTTTCGTTTTTTCGCATTTCATTTTTCACTCTTAGTGTGTCAGGCTGATATCTACAGGGTGCTCCAGAATTAACCGGACATTTATTTTCTGGCTTAAAGTGCGATTGCGCTCATTATTACGAGGTACGAGCATCATACTTTCATGAGACTTCCCTTAACTATCGAGCTTAGAGACTGTGCAGTGTACTTGTTCGGTCAATTATGGACAACCTGTAGGTATGTTTCATGTTTCTGATGGCAAGGAAGCCCGGTTTGCATTGGTGACAACAGGATGACTAAAACAGTTGCGAGATAAGGGGATGAATTTATTATCCATGGTTGAAGTGCATAACGAGATCCGACGGCCAAAACTGTGGCTGTAACTATAAAGCGGCATTAAAAAATTAACAAACGAATTGTAACAAAAAAAAGCGGAAAATTCCAAAAACGTAAGGCTCCCACCGTGTCGCCAGCCTTTAGATGCCAGGAAGTGTAGCTTTTCTCTATAATGCGTGTGCTGTTTTTCTTGTTGAATGTTTGACACCAGTTATGTTTTCTTTTTGTAACCATGACACATTCACTTGTTTTTTTTTTTTTTTTTGTCTAACCATTGAAGAAAAGATGTTAAGCACATTTTATTGATTGATTTCCTAATTATCATTTTCATTTGTTATTTTACTTGAATCAATTGTTACCAATCAGCTTCTGTCGCACAAGGGTAAAGATAAGATCTATGTATTTTGTTACAGTGAATCAGTAACTGTGCCCTGTGACGAATGTCTGTTAACTATGATGCTGCTGCTACTGAACCCAGCCGTCTCTAATTGGCTGTGGTCACTGTGTGCTGTGAATTGTGATCCAGCGTCGTAGCTCAGCTCCCGTTACGTTCGCCTACTCATGGTCGGCTACTGTTGAAGACACCCCTGTACGGAGCGCATCCCTGTTCGCGTACGTTTGTGAGTCTATGGGACTGTCTGTGCTGCTGCTGTCAATCTCAGTCTGCCCTGTCTGTATCTGGGTCCCACGCCGCCCCGTCAGGTGACCTCTACCCATCCCCTCCCGCTCTGACCTGCCATGTCGACCGCGCCGCAGGGGAGTACGCCGGTACACAGGGGCTCGGCCTGCTGAGGCTCCACTCCACCTACCGGCACGACCTCAAGATCTACGCGTCCGACGAGGGTCGTGTGCAGATGACCGCCGCTGCGTTCGCGAAAGGTGGGTAGTTGGACTTACGTTACCCGGTCGCCTCGTTAGCGGAAGGTGGGTGGTTAGACGCCCCGCCGGCCGGCTGCTACGTTTGCCAAAGGTTTGATGGTTGGATCTCGTACTCACCGGCTGCTGCTTTCGTCAAAGGTGGGTGGTTAGACCTCCGTTGCCCAGCCGCCGCGGTTGCCAATGGTGGGTGATTGGACCCCTTACTCACCGGCTACTGCTTTCGTCAAAGGTGGGTGGTTAGACCCGCGGGCTGGCTACAGCTGCGTCTCAGTCCAGGATAGTTCACTGGTGGCTGTCAGAGTTTCACAAACTTAGGGGAAGCCCCTGGGGCACATGAATTGACGCTGTTTTAACTGAATCCCCGGGGCCCAAACTCCTGTGAGCGGAATGGATGCTGGACCGAAGTTAGCTGGGTAGTTTCTCGGTTACTGTTCCACCAGCGACGAGGGCCGGGACCGGCTGTACTCTTTCGATAGTTATCTTACGGCTATCTTTGCATGTAAACGCTGATTTGAAAATGAGCTGTTCTTTGTTTATGGTTGATTAGACACCAGCTGCCCTATCCAGACGTATTTTGTTTATGCTAAACTTGTACCAGTTGTGTTTTGTGTATGGTGATCACGGGACCAGCCGGCTGTCCTGTAGGCTGTGCAATGGGTATATAGCTAATTACTGAGGACCAGCTTTCCTTTATTGTAGTGATCTTAGTTGAGTTGTGTTTTCATTTGCCTTTTTCAGGTCTGCTGGCGCTAGAGGGAGAGCTCACCCCGATCCTGGTACAAATGGTGAAGTCAGCCGACACCAACGGACTCCTGGACAACGACTCCGACTCGAGAAACCTACTCAACATGTGAGTCACGCGCCCGAGTCTTACCAAAGAATTAGACGAATTGCTGTGTGTCTAGGCGGTCACTGAGGCTCCTCGCTGGTCTTCATGTGTGTGTGTATGTGGACGCAGTATTTCTGTTCTTCGAGCCTTGGTGTGGAGAAGCGCCAGTGTGCTCGACCGGACGTATGCACTGCTATCCTGTGTGTAGCGCAGCGTTGGTGGTTCTGACACCTCTGTGTTTTATCTATCGACAGGGTGAAGAGCCGGATCCACGACCTGTTCCAGCAGGACCGCGACTTCACCGAGGACGACATCCATCAGCTGAACCCGACTGGCTCCATCAGCGTAGCCAAGGCGCTCAGCAGGCTCAGTGAGTCGCGGAGTTCACGTCTCGGTGTAGACGGGTGCTGCTGGGTTACCTTGAATATTTCAACATGGCGGGGGAATCGAATGTTAAAACACCCTTCTCCCCATCAGGGCGAAGGCTCAATTCTGGACTTGTAGTTTGGAAATTTTCCACTTTCCAGATTTATTAATCGACGTGAACGTTTTGCTTCATACGCATATTTGTTCTTAATATAACTTTGTCATAAGTGAGTATTTTCTAGGCCTCTCCTCATGTTTCGTGCACCCGTGAGCTCTTTCTCTCCCCGCTCCTGTCTCGTAAAGCCAGGTCTTTCCCTCTCCCCATATTCCGTTCCCTTGCCAATCTAATCTCCCCTCTTTCCACCTTCTTTTGCAGAGAACCCAGTGGAGACGTGTGAGCTGGTCTACAGTCACCTGCAGAAACTGTTGGCGGTCATCACACCGAAAATGGAGGAGTCCAAAGGTGAGAGCTGCGCCCCTTCCCGTCCGTACAGAAACTGTTGGCGGTCATCACACCGAAAATGGAGGAGTCCAAAGGTGAGAGCTGCGCCCCTTCCCGTCCGTACAGAAACTGTTGGCGGTCATCACACCGAAAATGGAGGAGTCCAAAGGTGAGAGCCGCGCCCCTTCCCGTCCGCCCCATACTCTCTCACTCATGTGTCTCGACAGGCGGCAGTACCCACCCGAACCCCTAGCACTGGGGCAATTCACCGAGTGGCCGCGCTGCCGCCGTCTGGCCGTCCACTCAGTGTCACAGCCAGAATCGACCCTTGTGTTGAATTGCGCCGGGCGAGAGCTCCTGCTGCCCTAATCCGGCGGCGCCGCGGCGACGGAGGCTTAGCTGGGATTTCCATGGGGTTTTACGGCGTACTCAGTCGATAAAGGCTGTGCTAGAGAGCTGCGGCTAGGTATGGGACTCTAGTGGTAGCGATGTAGAGGTATCGGCTATGAAATAACGCCGCTGCGGTACCGCGACAAAGTACATGACGGCCAAGGTACCAGAGCGATGAGGGTGAACGAGTTACTAGAGCCTGGAGTACCGTGCCCAGTTGATCACTGGAGTAGGTCAACGAGACTCCCTTCACTCACCCGTCTAACAACCGGGCTACCCCGCCACTAGAACCCTGGGCTCGGCACAAGGCCTCCTGTCGTTTATGTGCCGTTTCGGTAGGTCGATGGGCTGTTCTGTGAGTGCTGTCGGCCCTTAGTCGACAAGAGGTATGGTGTTGGTCAGTGGTTGGGGTTGAGGAAAGGAGGGGGAGCGTCACGCCGGTGGCTGATGCAAGAATCGAAGCTTAGATCTCCAGCTAGGCTGGCTGCTAATACCAATCTGTGCGTTCCATTAAAAGTGGATGCTTATGGGTTTAGTTTCTTGGCTCAGCTGTTTGAGTGTCGTCATTGACATGTAGCGATGACCGATCAATCATCAATCTCAGACGTTTCTCTTCAAAGATTGTTTCTTTATTTGGTTATTTGTGTGGCCGTCTGGGATTTCCCTCTTTATTGACTTTGCAACGACAAACCATTTCACCATTGGATTGACGGTACTTTACAGCTGGGAAACACTGCGGTTCTTTGAAATGCTATTTAGAAGTTTTCCAATATGGTAGGGGAACACCTCTTTGTTTGTTTCGCCAAACTTATGAAGCAGAAAGTTTTGCGCTTCGATGAGTGTTAACTTAGACAGTCTGTCCCGTCTGTCCCTGGTCTGTCCCGCTACCATGCCAACAACCATCCAGCTCCCTGGTCACGTGTTTGCTGACGTCACGCGTCACGTGTCCGTCCTCAGAGCTCATCCTCTACCACGGGGAGAGCTGGGAGCTAATGCTGCGCCGTTGGGTCAAACTCGAGAAGGACTTCAAGACGGCCAACGGCAAGTTTGACATCAGCAAGATCCCGGATATTTACGACAACATCAAGTACGACCTGCAGCACAATCAGAAGGTGCTTCAGTTCGACGATGCTGAGGAGATGTACCGTGTGGCCAAAACGGTGGCCGACGTCATAGTTCCACAGGTTAGTCGGGGATCGTGGGGTATTGTGGGGACTTAATAGTTCATAGGCTGGTCGGATTTATCATAGTATGGGGATGTTATGGTTCGTCGGCTCATGGGCTTGCATTAAATGGGATTTTATAGGACCACAAATCATTCGAGCTTGGTCACTGGCGCTGCTGCTTGAATATCAGACATGACCTCCATATTCTATCCCTGGCGCACGTTTGAGTAAGTACCACTGCCATTTTTATGTAAGCTTTGCGAATAAAGCCATCGGCCAATCATTCGTTATTAACACATTACGAAAACCGTTAAGTGCACGAGCGTAGAAGTAACGTGATCTCGTTGATCATTCACTGGTCATGCATCATACGCTGTTGTGTGCTGTTCATTGTACGTCGCTGACCCAGGTTCCTTCCTCTCCCGTCAGGAGTACGGCCTGACTCGTCAGGAGAAGCTCTCCATCGGTCACGGTATCTGCACGCCGCTGCTGAAAAAGATACAGGCCGACCTGAGGCGTAACATCGACGAGGGTGCAGAGGAAACGTCAACCGACTCAATCCTATGTGAGTGGT